GAGTACAAAGTAGTACCGGTTTGGAAAAATTGAAAATATTACAATATACCACATATGTATATGACAGTATTTATATAAATCGCTTTGTTGCTGCTATAAATGTGTGTACAGCTTCAAATATTTGTATATTAATATCAAGTCCATGATTAGAACTACCATTTAACAATAAATCACATTCAGATATATAGTCACAATTTATAATATTATGTATTGATTGAAAAAGTACATTTCTTGGAATTGTATATCTTGGACATACAGAAAAGTAATGGTAGGCATCTTCAATACTGCCAGCACAATGTTCACACATTGGAGTTTCTGCTAAACATTGATTATATAAATCTGCCATCAAATTACTGGCATTATTCCTTATCTGACAATGTATTATATTATATTTTCTTACTCCAAAATGAAAAAGTTCATTACTTTTTCTACAAAAATAGGATTTTAAGAGACTCTTAAATGAACATATTCCAGGAGCATTTTTAATATAATCTGGCAAGATATTCCATTGTTTGACTGTAGAGGGAAGAAAACTTTCCATATAAGATGTTGTTCTAATATTAGGAATTTTGAATTGTACAACATTGGTTCTGAGATTATAAGAATGAATTGATGGGTGATAGGGTTCAATCAAATCATACAAATATTGAGGGGAATAACCATTAATAATTTTATAAAACAATATAAGCTTATGAATTTTTCTCCTTGTTTTTAGAAGATCCCATCCTAGTTCATCATACAATTTTGAACGAGAAGAGTTACATCTTAATCCAGTGATAATTCTGCCTGCTTCAACTTGTATGTCTTCTAAAAGTTTAGAATCTTTTTCAGAACAATTGTCCCAAACAACATCAGAATACTCCATTACAGGTCGAATAAATGCAAAATATATTTTAACAAGTGTTTTACGTGTAACCTTGTACTTAAGCATTCTAAGAATGTTTAATCTTTTTGTAGCTTTTTCATGAATTATTTGTATGTGTGATGTCCACGTGGCATCTCTTTGAAAATGTAAGCCTAGATGAGTATGAGAATTTTTCTGAATAATATCTGGGCCATGTTCGCCAAATTTAACAGGAGAATATACAAAGTTTTTTCTACTAAAATTTAAATTCACAGTTTTATTAGGATTAAAATCAACCAGCCATTTCTTTGACCATTTATCAATATGTTCTAGATCATCAGTAAGAGATTGTGCTACATTTCCATTGTCTACAATAGCATATAAAGAAGTGTCATCAGCAAAGAGTCTTATATTATTAACTAGATCATCACAAATATCATTAATGTACAAAAGAAATAGAAATGGTCCCAGAACAGAACCCTGAGGAACACCAGCATTTACCGTTTCAGGGTTTGATGTAAAACCATCTATTACAACTTTTTGTTGTCTATCAGACAAATAATTCTCAATCCAACCTAATACATTGCCATTAATACCATAATTTGTTAGTTTAGTTAACAGGCCTTTATGCCATACTTTATCGAATGCTTTTGAAATATCACAAAAGATAAATCTTACATCTTTTCCTTTATCAAGATTTGAAATAATAGTATTATATATCTCTACCAGTTGATTGACAGTTGAATCTCCAGGTTGGAAACCAGACTGATATTTGTATATAATATTATTATCATTCATAAAATTATGTAAATGTTTAAAAAGTATTTTTTCCATTATTTTACACAGAACACTTGTAAGAGATATTGGTCTATAATTAGATACTTCTTGAGCACTCCCTTTATTTTTAAAGACGGGTGTAATCTGTGATAATTTCCAGATGTCTGGTAGCTTTTTTTCCCTTAATGACATATTGAAGAGATTTGTCAGAGGCTTTTTAATTGAAATGGAGATTTCTTTTAACACTCTTGGAGATATGCCATCAGGACCAGGAGGTTTACTGTTATCAATGATACATAATTGATCATAAACTTCAGCTTCTGTGATAATTATTTCAGGAAAAATGTTAATATTCTGTTGTGGTGGACCGGGTCCATGAAGAGGAATATCTGGTTCGTTATTAATGGAGGAAACCTGGGCAAAATATTTATTTAAAACTAAAGCTTTTTCTATTGGATGAAAAATAAGTTTTCCATTTGATTTTAATGGTGGTAATGGTTCATAATTTTTATTAAGTTTTGATATTGATTTGACAATCCTCCACCATTTCCCAGGAGGAATCGATTTATCAATCATTGACGACATTTTTTTGTTATACTTTTCACAGGATTTTCGAATTTCATTAATAACTGTATTTCTAATTTCTCTATATGACTGCCAGTGTAGTGGATTGTCTGTATGTTTTGCTTTATAGTGAATCCTATTTCGTTTTCTCATTAGTTTACGTATAGTATTATTCATAAAAACTTTATCTCTTGGTCTAATGGTAATAGTTTTTTTAGGAATGTGTTTATCAATACATTTATTTAGAGAACAAACAAAGTTGGAATATGTTTCATTAATATTTTCAGAATTGAATACTGTATTGTCCCAATCAACTTGTAATAATTCTTCATTAAGTTCATGAAAATTCGCTTTTTCATAATTTTTCACTTCCCTTTTATAGGCATACTGTTTATGAACAGTGAATTTTACCTCTACACTAGTCACACAGTGAGAGCTACAGAAGGGTGATGTTGTATCATGATTTGCGATTAAGCTGGTATTGTTGGTCAAAATGAGATCAATACATGTCCCTGTTTTGGTTGTGAAATTAGTAGCATTCTTTATAAGATTTGTTAAACTAAGTCTCTGTAACATAAGTTTAAAGTGTTTGCTTTGGTCAGACAACATATTAATATTGAAATCGCCTAACAGTATGATGGGAATATTTAAATCAAGTGCTTGCTGCATGTTGAATAGAAAATGATCCCAATATTCTGCCTTAGAGTTGGGTGGTCTATAAATGACACCAATAAGTAATTTATTGTTATTTACAACAACTTCTGTTTTACAACAGTTTTACGGTTGATGAAAAACTCATTGATATAAACGAATGATTATTGTTCATTTGAGCGAAATTCCCCTTTAGGACATTGTATTTATGGTCTGTGTCATATTGTAATTTTTAAATACTACCACCCGGTAAATTCAAATTTACAATATTACATCTATTTGACAGACTATTATATACAAATGATCATGGAGGTTTCAAAAGGTTTCATTGTCTTAATATTTTAAGTACACAGGTTGGACTTTGTTTTCAATCCTATGAAGCTAAGGCTGTAGCCCATTACGTACCTGTGTAATTGTTTACCAGTCCATTACACGTAACAGATGAAATTACCATCACCACCTATATTTTCTAAAAGGATGTAATATTAAATCTGTAATTTTTTTTATACATAATTCAAACATGCGACATGAAATTTGAAATAAAAAAAATTAAAATCTGCAATTAAGAGAATCATGAATGAATTAAATTGAATGAATACTCACAGCTCACTTTCTAGGGCTCGCGAGGAGATTGGGAACTTCACGAGGGAATCTAAATTTTCACCTCCCACATTTGTTGTATACGGGGAAAACTGGATGTTACTTCATATTTAATTTTAATTAGTGGGACCACAACTTAGGATTTAACGTTTAGAATTTCTAAAAGTGTGGAAAAGGCTAATATAAAACTACAAATCAATTTTCATCACTGTTCCAATTAAAATGCACAATTATCATGTTCACAGAAATTTCATTGAGCAGATTGATTTTTTTTTTCTCTTCAGTTTTGTGTCGCGACCGCAGCGTCTCAATCTGTGTTTAAGACACGGCACAAAAGATGATATTGGACACGTGTTACACTGATCAAGGTGAAATCAACCCTGTAAAATAAATGCCACATATCAAACAAGAAACAGTAATGGAAAACATAACAAATATCCAAAGTAATGTGGAGAAGAAAAAAATAAAAATTTCAAAATATTGATTTAAACAAGTTACTGATCATCGAAGAATAAATAACATTTTAAACATTATTAAGATGGAGATAAGTGATAGTTTTTGTACGAACAGAAAATGAGCAAAAGAAGCATACATAACCACAACTGCAGTATTAAGTCATGACTGCAGGAACCGGGGGGGGGGGGGGGGGGGGAGAGAGAGAGGGGTTCTCCCTAATAATTTTGCCGATATATAGTATACTATAGAAAACATAAATAGCACCCCTTCAATGATAATGTCGGACCCCCCTTTTTTGCCTGTCAAGGAAATTTTGCTTGGCAATGCTTCCCAAAAACTGAAAAGGTTTGGTTGTGCCCCCCCCCCCCCCTTGCATCCTACGGTGCAGTACGGGTTTACACGTATAGTGTTTGATAAATCAAGTAAAGCCTTTGTAATGGCTGTGATGCTGAAGGTGACGTGGTCACACTGATGTGATGAGAGCAGCAATGAAAGTTATTTAAGTATCAGAATTAATTACTTATCCTGTCCGTGCCCCGGGGACGCAGGAGGCCGTAAGGTATCAGATCGTCATAATGAAATATTTTCTTCCTTGATTTTCAAATACGTTTTAACTCAAGGTGAAAAATCCCAGCAATATTATTTTAAAGATTTTTTAAAATAAGATTCTTGAATCATCTGAAGAATTAGCAGGTTCAAATTAGCGGTGTTGCATTAATTGCAACAACAAAAAAAATCATATATTTTAAATCATCAAAGACGGGGGACATACAATTTGCCTCTGAGGATAAAATTTGTGTAGAAATACTACACACGTAAATTAGATTTAAACTGACACATCCCCAAATCAATCTTCGCATCATCCAGTGCCCTCCCATTGTACACGTATAACATCAAAATAATAGAAAATAAATCGCAGTCCACATAGATTGTCAATAACCGAGTTCTTTTTGTCTATGTGTCACATAATTGTGCAGTATACCTAGTCCAGTAACTATCGTAGAAACGTGTCCGCGTCGTAAGAAATCGACCATGTGATGCTCTCGTCGCACCAGATGGGGAGGATTCGATTGGATTTCGCGAATCTTGTTTCGTGGCGATCACATTCCTTTATAAGAAAGATTGGGACAGTGATGCGTCCACTTACTACATTTATCTTTTGATTTTACATCATCTTATCAAGGTAAGACAATTACAAATGCAGCCAAACTTTTACTCAATGAAATTTCCCACAGGTATTTTTTTTTTTCAAATTTATCTTAATTATTGTTTTTATTTAATAGAACTTTTTTATTTCAGCATATCAGCAAGAGTAGTAAAACTTTGAATTATGAAGAAATTGTTGTTTCTTTGATAACTTTTATTTCGACCAATTTGAACATTTCACGAAAGGACGCCTACCAATCTGAGGATTTTTTTTTAAATGAAAAAAACCCTTGACACGTATTATTTAAGTTATTATTTACTGCGACAGGCCCGGCATGGCAGCTTTGTTTCTCTTCATCGTCCTCATCGCGGCAGTACAAGGTCACAAAAATTACACGGTAACAGAGGAGGCCTGGTTTGATGTCGAAATCAAAGACTTCGATGGCATCGGCGAGGACTACAGAGGAAGGTTCGTCGTGGCATTGTTTGGAGACAAATGTCCGATGACAACAATGAACTTCCAATCATTAGCTAAAGGATACAAAAGAGGCTCAGTAAGTACCAATCATTGGCTAGAGGATACAAGTAAGGCTCATTAAGTACCAATCATTAGCTAAAGGATACAAAAGAGGCTCAGTAAGTACCAATCATTGGCTAAAAAATACAAACGAGGCTCAATAAGTTCCATTCATTGGCTAGAGGATACAAATGAGGCTCAGTAAGTACCCACTGGTATACCACAAAGTAGCCTGGCACCCTGTACGTCGAGATCAAAATTTGGATCCGAGTTGATGAGGGGATGGATTGAAATTCGCATGAAAATAACTAATAAGGTCTTTCACGAGGCATGGTGTCTTTTGCATGGATGTCATTCTTTTAAAACGATGTGCATTTGTTCATTATATTAAAGATCATGTTTGTTTTATCATTTGGATCCTCCTCCTTCTATTGTTTCATGTTTGTAAATCTTTTTTGCTCCTCCGGGGACCCAAATTGGACTAATAAAATCTTGTATCTTGTTCGTTAACAGTAACCGAATGCCTTAACACTAGATAATGTTGCAATAAATGAAATAATAGGGTTCTAGTGCTAAAGTTAGGTAAGAGCTAGGGTAAGGGTAAGGGCTAGCGTTAGGGTTAGGATTAAAGCTTAAGTAAAGCTTAGGGCTAGGATGAGAGTTATGGCTAAAGCTAAGGTAAGGCTTAGGGCTAGGGTAATAGCTAAGGTAAGGCTTGGGGCTAGGGTAATAGCTAAGGAAAGGCTTAGGGCTAGGGTAATAGCTAAGGCTTAGGGCTAGGGTTATAGTTAAGTAAGGCTTAGGGCTAGGGTAATAGCTAAGGTAAGGCTAAGAGTTAGTGTTATAGCTAAGGTAAGGCTTAGGGCTAGAATAAAGGCTAAGGGAAGGTTTAGGGATAGGGTTATAGCTAAGGGAAGGCTAAGAGTTAGGGTTATAAGTTAAGTAAGGCTTAGGGCTAGGGTTAGTGTTAAGGTTATAGCTAAGATAAGGTTTAGGGCTAGTGTTAATGTTATAGCTAACGTAAGGCTTAGGGCTAGGGTTAGAACTAAGGGCTAGGGTTTGAGCTAACGTAAGGCTTAGGTTAGAGTTGGAGCTAAGGTAAAAGTCAGAGTAAGCGTTAATACTAGGTTTAGGTTAGGTTTACATCTGGGGTCATATTCGAACTTCTGGTTTAGAGAAATCTGAATATCCTAGTTTTCATAGTATGTAGTATTCATCGTGAAATAAAGCCAAATCTGTAGGAACCGGAAAGTGAGACACGGGGTAGGGTGTCCCTCCCAGTAATTTTGTCAACGTATACTATACAATAGAAAACATATTCATTTACGATCTTACCCCCTCATGAACTCCTAATTTTTAATCAGTTGTGCTTTCAACGGGCCTGGCTTATACACACATTACCGTTTAATTTTGATGGAAAACATTATAAAAACCTGAAGCTTGTTTGTGTTTTCTTTAAATTAATTAGTTTATGCTTTTCGGAAGATCCGTTCAAACGGGTTATCGTTATTTATTTCCTCAGTTAGATAAGATACAACATACGCAAATTTTTTTTCAAGTTTTTATTCATATAAATAAATATTATTTCTATGAAACGGTTGAATATTATGAAGTTGTATACAGGATGTTTTTAAATATCCCTCTTAATTAACAATCACTGATAAATGGAACAGTGGATAAATTAAAGGAAAAATTATGAAAAATAAAATTATGTTAAATAACAGTTAAGACGAGTCTCACACAGCTTTACAAGAGTCCTAACTTACATACATGTGTCTTTATAATCGATTGAGAAATTTCAATAGTCCGATTGAGTCGTTGAGCAACAGCTGCTTATATACTTCGATCTTCTGTAGAACAAAGGGAAAGCGGGATCTGACACGAGTGCAGACGTGGACATATCAACACGTGGAAAGAAAAAAAAAGTCCTTCGACAGATTTATTCTTGATTTTAGTCACTAAATAAACAAACACACGGAATTAAAAAAAAAAAAGACCCCCCCCCCCAAAAAAAAAAAAAACAAACAAACAAACAAACAAACATATCTTTAAAGCAAGGACTTATACATTAAGCTTATAAAAGGAGTTTTTTCCTAAAATATCAAAAATTGTTTTAATTTTGTTTACAGAAAACCTTAACATACAAGCGATCCCTGATCCACAGAATAGTTCCAGATTTCATTATTCAGATGGGAGACATCACCGTTGGCGATGGAACTGGAGGTACCTATCTTCTAAACCATTTTGATTCTATTTCTTATTTTCGACACTTCGTATTTCAAGCATGTGTAAAATGAAATTCCTCCTCTAAAAGAAAATTTTTTTCTTTGCTTTTTTGTTGTTGATTTTGATCGTTTCTAATTTGTGTATTTTGCAACTTCGTACAAGCCAATAATAAACTTTTGCATTTATATTCAATCAAAAAGACATATATAATTCACTAAAATCAATTTCAATAAGTATATATATTAGTACGTTTATATTAAACCTGCTGGACTTCCATAGTTTAACAAACATTTGTTATTATCACTGAAAGAAGACTACAGATAACATTTGACCTTTCAGGCGAGAGCATCTACGGACCAACATTCGTTGACGAGAACTTTGAGCTGAGTCACAAAGCTGCTGGGTATGTATCTATGGCTAACCATGGCCAAGACACCAACGGCTCCCAGTTCTTCATTCTTCTGAACAAAGCTAGATGGCTAGATGGCAAGCACGTCGTATTTGGAAAGGTTATCAAAGGAATGGTAAGTTACTCCAGAAGATTATAACAAACACAAGAACCCATCCATTGCTAGCCTTGGGTCAAAATTATAAGTTCGATTTTAGAAACTTTTCTTTATTGGACGAATTTAGGTAGCCCTATATATAATATATATAATTCTTTGTCTTTCATAGGATGTAATACGAACCATTGGAGAAACCCCCACAGACAGCAGAACAGCGGTCCCCAAGAAAACGGTAAAAATCATCGACTGTGGTATTGTAGGAATCGAAAAGAAATACGAACTAACGGAAGCACAGGCTGAATCTAGCGAAGACCTGTAGATCATAAGTTACCAAAATTACGCACATTGTCATATACCATCAAGAAGAAAACATTGCCATAATCATGTGATCTCATGGACGTTAAGTTTTAAATAAGAGGCTTCATGATATAACCATTATCCTCAGAATCTGTCAGTATTTCAGTTTGTATTTTTGTTGAAATGAGTTGTATGTGTTTTCTTTATTTTACACTGTTTGCATACAAGTTTCTCCCTAGCTCTGTAGATAGGTCAGTATTTAATTCTATTGGTGAGAATCCGTGCTGCCGATAAGGCCTGTATCAGAGATGGTGTATTACAGAGCGTCCACCTGCGGTACTGTACTTACCCAAGCTGGACTGTAGAAATCTGTAATGTACATATGGCAGTCAATAGATCTGTAATAAAAGTGTCTGAACTGTAGAGAATTTGCCTTTTTTTAAAAAGAATTCTATACAGCTGTAAATAAAAATGCTGTATGTGTTTTGTTGCAATCTGGCCAAAAAACATGAATGCACGAGAACTTACATAATTTCTTAAAAGTTGTATTGATTTTACTTGCATCCCTTTCATGTTTAATTTCCATCCCCTCCCTTTCATTTGATTAACTGAACAGAATAAAATTATCTCTCAAGTGTTGTGATTGAGAGACAAGGAAAAAAAAAGTCCCTTTGACCTACTCTGCTGTTTAAAAAAATATTAAAAAGAGGCTAATGGGCCACAATGCTCACTTGTGTTACTTTAGCCTTACTGTTCTTAGATTTTTAAAAGATTTTTATATTTCCTTGAAAATTGACCCCATATTAAGGCCCCACCCTAACTCTATGGTGTCTCTGAATCTACATACCATGGAGATGCTTCAATATCAATATGACTAACATGGCCTTACATTGATAGAGAAGAAAATTCATTTCCTGTATACATGCATTATGAAAAATTTGAACCTGAATTTAGCAAACTCTAACCCAGGGTCAATATTTTTAATAAAATCACACAATAGGGAATGTTCGCAAATTAATGGTTTTACTGTTTTTCTTTAGAAGACCTTAAACAAAATTTCCTATATTGTTCCATGTGAAACTTTGATTCCCTGTTGTGGTCCCATGCTACCCCCATGGGCCACGAGTTGTACAGTTTAGAATCTATACTACCTTAGGAAGCCTTTACATAAATTTAATCTTTTCTGGTCCAGTGGTTCTTGAGAGGAAGATTTTTCCTAAATATTTCAATGTAAAAATTTGATCCTTTGTTGTGATCCCATCCTTACCCAAGGATCCATGATTTGAACAATAAACAATCTACACTTCCTTACGAAGCTTCCACACAAGTTTCACTTTTTCTGACCCTGTGGTGCTTGAGAAGATTTTTGTTATTTATTTCAATGTAAAACTTTCGTCCCCTAATATGGCCCCACCTTATCCCTAGGGGTCATGATTTGAACAATTTTAGACTCTACACTTCCACATAAGTTTCATTTTTTTCTGTCCCAGTGGGTCTTGAGATTTTTTAATGACCCCACCCTGTTTTTGCCTTTCATGAATATCGCCTCTATGAAAAGGACTTGAACAATTTAAGTTCCCCCTTATTCAAGGATACTTTGTGTCAACTTTGGTTAAAATGGGCCCAGAAGTTCTTGAGAAGAAGTTGAAAATGTAAAAAAAAGTTTTACAGGTGGAAGGACAGACGGACAGACATCGGGTGATCAGAAAAGCTCACTTGAGCTTTCAGCTCGGGTGAACTAAATACCAGGGGTCTGCAGTAATACCATGTATCTCAATTCCTCCATATCACAATTATGTTTATTAAACCAGTGACAGTTTCACCTGCTTAGCTGCATCATGACTAACATACCTGTATGCTGACAAAGTGGACAGCGGTTCAGTAAGTATAGTGGTTCCAGATATTCATTACAGACAAGTCTGTATATTCCAAGTCTTGTAGGAATAGACATTGCATTTCACAAAAATCTGTTTTTGTTAAGTTTTTTTTGTGAAGAAACTTGAAAGTAAAAAATTCTGTAGTTGTTTTTCATTTTAATTCATACATTTAATAACAAAAATTTGAAATACACATGACTTTTGCCTATGGGAAATTCCATTAAAGTAATAATTCCAAAAAATAACAAAAGAAACTAATCAACAACCCCCCCCCCCCCCCAAAAAAAAAAAACACACACACACACACCCTCCCCAGAAAACCTTACTTAAATCATCTGCTCTGTAAGAAAAATAATAATTAATATTTAATCCAGTATTTTGTACTTTTCAAAATTTCAAAAGGAAACTTCAAATAAAATAGATTCTGATTAACAATTACAGTAGTGTATCTATCTGTAACATGCAGAACACACCATACATAATTTATGACATGGATGATCTAAACATCACAGCACTTACATCTATTTTAAAAGTAAACAAAATCACAAAGCCCTGTGAAAAAACTGTCAAAATAGATAAAAGCACTAGGTAATAAAATAATAATCCAGTTCTGCACACATTTATTCTGTGAAACATGGAAATATAAACAAAAATTTCCTTCAAATACTTTAACATTGACAAAACTATATACAATTTTAATTCTAAATAAAAAATAACAATTAATACACAAAAAATAAACTGTGGCATAATTATTGCAAATGCTTCATACATCACAGAATTAAATCATTTTTTTAATGAAGTCTGCAAGATTTTGAATAGAAGAAGAAAATATACTCTCAACCATTCAAAACATACAAAGGTGCCAAGGATAGTGTATTAATGGCTGACTGAAGCAAACAATAGCAAATCTGTGATTCTGATCATAATTTGTTATGTAATAAATAGGGATACAGTTTAAGACTTGATTAGCTGCAGGACACTGAAGGTTTGTTTTTTGGAGGAGGAGCTCAGTTTGCCTTTTGGATCACTCCCTACTCTCTCCCCTATGTCTGAGGGCCGAGATTTTATTAGCCACTTTGCCTGTCTAGCTGGATGACTCTACTGTCTCTCTGCTGTGTCTGAGAATCCTATTTTTAGCAGCCACTTTGTCAGCTGGATGATTCCGTTGTCTCCTCTGTAGTGTCATCTTCACTCGGGGTCTCATCTGCCAGCATCTCCAACAGAGCATGAAATCTCTCTATTATCTGAAAAATGACAAACTTTGTCTGCTTAATCCATGGCAAATAAAACAGTAAACTAATAATAATGATTCTGGAAGTTAAGAGGATCACACTTGTTGGATCCACCAAAAATACTTTTAATGGACATTATTCTTGATAAACTCTTTTCAGTATGGGTAATTCAAGACACTCTATTTCATGTCTATTTTTAAAATACAGCTATACAACAATGACAAATGAATGAAAAAAATAATCAAGCATTATCTTCTTTCAATGCAGAAAACTTACTGAAGCTACTGTCGATCCAGGAATTTGTTTTGCGATGTCTTCAAATGTTTTGGAGAAGGGGCCATTTGCTTTGACACTCTCTAACATTACTCTATCCATCTCCCTGTTATCAGAAAATAAAATTCAACTCTTAGTAAGAGTCTTGCACACAAATCACACTTCAATTGTAGCATTTTAAAGACCTACATGTAGAAAAAAGTTATAGGAATTGGCAATGTCATTGCATAAGTAATAGTTGGCAATATTTGTCTTAAAATTATCATCATATGCTACTCAACAACCATCTTTTGACTTCTCCAAATAAAACTTATTTTATAATAATTTTCACCTTGTCCATTCAATCAGTGGTGTTGCAGGAGTTGTCTCTCTTTGATCTACTAATGCATCTGACACCTGAGTGGGACTAGGTCCTGCTTTAAGTTCTTCTTGGCCAAATCCAACAACACTGGAAATAATGTTTCTAGATGGAGAAGCTACACTTTGGCTTTTGCTTAGTTTTAATCTTAGACCTTGGCCAGCTGAAGAACCTGATTCTTCTGTAGAATAGGACTTTGGATTTGGGCTTACTTTTATTGAAAGATTAGAATTTTCATTATGGAACACAGGGGAGTTTGTGTAGGCAATAATAGGACTAGAGTCAGTGGGACTTTTTAGGAATTCAACATTGTCTATGCTGGACAAGGAAAATGCAGGTGAAACACAACTCGTATCTTCAGTGACAGGTTTTGGCACTATTCTTCTTTTCTCACATTTCTTCTGCTTATCTGTAGGACTAGAGTCCAATTTTTTAGCACTTGGTGAAATGTTTTGTTCTGAATCTAACTTATTAACATTTTGTGTCATATTCCTAGTCTCTTTTTCAGAAACTATTGAAAATCCAAGATTAGTTGAAGACACTGGGGCTTTTGTTGGACTAGATGCACTTTGTGTTTTGTTGCCTACATGTGAGGAATCTAAAGTCATGGACACATCTGACTGACTTATCATGGCCTCATGTAAAGCTTTGGCAAGCAAGTCAGAACAGGAACTGTCTCTGTGAGAAATATGTCCATCCATGGCAACTTCCTCTGTAAGAGTTGGAGGGGTTTTCTGAGGTGACAAGTTAGCACTTTCCACCCATGAACTGATGGTGAATTCTCTATTGGAATCCTTTTTTGGTGTTGTTTCAGTGTTAGGGATGGATATTATGGCCCCTGCGAAGTCTTCATTGCTGTCTGCTGTGACAGTCACTTCCACTGACCTGGGTACTTTGGACAGTGGAGATGTTTCCTCTATCTTCTCCACCACCCCCCCAGGATTCGCTTCCTCTTGCCTTCTTTGGTCCTGAGGTGGAATCAGATCAGGTAACCCACAACCAAGCTGAGATTCTTCTGAGTGTTCCATACTTTCCAATTCTTCAGTTCTTAGTGATGAAGTCGATTCCCTCTCTCCACTCTTCTCACCTTCTTCAGGCATTTCTTTTGACTGATTGGATGTGGAGGGAAGATTTTCCAGGTCAGAAATCTGGTCACCAGTTTCTGTTGAAACACTTGTAACTGTTTTCTTGACAGGAGAATCAGCCATTTCTTTAATAGAAAAGAAACGTCCCTGTTTCCCCTTCTTTCTGCTAGAAATCTTTAACTGAAATGGAAGAACACCATACAGTTTTTGTTTGCAAAAAACAATAACCTTATTCCTGCATGCAAATATAAAAGAAAATATTTGGAATGCAATATTTTAAGCAATATGATAAGAATTTACTAAGTTTAACTTTATTCCCCCATGTTTTGGGCGTCTAATCTGTACGTTCTTTGCTAAGTTAACCTTTATTCCCCCATGTTTTGGTCGTCTAATCTGTACGTTCTCTGCTAAGTTTATCTTTATTCCCCCATGTTTTGGTCGTCTAATCTGTACGTTCTCTGCCATGTTTACCTTTATTCCCACATGTTTTGGTCGTCTAATCTGTACGTTCTCTGCTAAGTTTACCTTTATTCCCCCATGTTTTGGTCGTCTAATCTGTACGTTCTCTGCTAAGTTTACCTTTATTCCCACATGTTTTGGTTGTCTAATCTGTACGTTCTCTGCCATGTTTACCTTTATTCCCACATGTTTTGGTCGTCTAATCTGTACGTTCTCTGCCATGTTTACCTTTAATCCCACATGTTTTGGTCGTCTAATCTGTACGTTCTCTGCTAAGTTTACCTTTATTCCCACATGTTTTGGTCGTCTAATCTGTACGTTCTCTGCTAAGTTTACCCTTATTCCCCCATGTTTTGGTCGTCTAATCTGTACGTCTCTGCTAAGTTTACCTTTATTCCCACATGTTTTGGTCGTCTAATCTGTACGTTCTCTGCCATGTTTACCTTTATTCCCACATGTTTTGGTCGTCTAATCTGTACGTTCTCTGTTAAGTTTACCTTTATTCCCACATGTTTTGGTCGTCTAATCTGTACGTTCTCTGCTAAGTTTACCTTTATTCCCACATGCTTTGGTCGTCTAATCTGTACGTTCTCTGCTAAGTTTACCTTTATTCCCACATGTTTTGGTCGTCTAATCTGTACGTTCTCCTTTTCCGCTCCCTCCTCATCCTCCTCCCACTGAGCTGGTGTCATCGGCTCTGTCTTCACTTTCATCTTCTCCTCAACATCCTCTTCTTCTGGACAGCTGGGCTTAGGTTTAACTTCTGGATGATACCTCACCCTCACTTTCTTTAGGACTTGTCTGTTGATTCTATAGTATAGCTCTCCATCTATCACCTAAACAAGGGAAGTTTAATATGTCTTGACTGTATTTTGTTTCTTCATCTCAGGAAGCAAAAGTCAATCTTGTACATAATGAATTCCCTCCACCTTTACACATTTATGAAATCAAATTCTCCTCCCAAATGTCTTGTTTTGATTTTTCAAAAGATTTTCTACACTGTGGCTGATATCTAGATTTTGCTTAAATTTTCAAGTTTACCTGGTTACAAAGCAGTTTGCTGGCATCAAACATTAATTTTTGTAAAATATTCTGCAGGTTTGAATTTTTTAAGCTCAGAATACTATACCTTCAAACAACAGTTGGTACAGTGAATATTCCTCATATGGAAGTTTTTGGCGTTGGGATTCTGATGACAATTACACATGCACTTCTTTGTTCCATCAGGATTTTCGTCTTCTGGAACGACCACTTCCTCAAAATCATCGAACTGGAACCCTTCCTCTTCATCACTGTCTCCCAGAGTTATCTCCTCAAACTCTGTCATATAGCTGGAATTACAAAAACTAAATATACATGTACTCTCAACTTCTATAACCATTTGTTATCATCCTTCACAGGCATTTATTGCACAAATGAATACCTGTCTGGGGGCTTTTCATCCTCAAAAAAGAGGGACAACTCATCTAGAAGATGTGGTTGATTCTTCAGAACTTGTTCCAGCGTTTCCTTCAGTGCCTTCTCCTCCTCTTTGGAGCCCCCTGGGGCCCACTTTGTGAGGAGTTTCATGGTTTTCTGATAGTGAGAAGGATGTCTCTCAGCATACACCTGTAACATTCATATATATACATCGTAATGGTTTATTATTCTTCATTTCAATCAGTGTGACTTATTTTCTGTCTACTCAACTGGCATTGTCTCAAGCCACGGTTCGGAGTTCGCATATAGCTCTCTCTTACTGGCCAGAATGGGAGAGGATCATACATTTTGGCCATGGTTTGCGACGATGCTCAACTGGTATTGCAAGGATTGGTCAAACTAAATGTTTGTTTAAGGACATACGCAACGTACCTTACCTACTGATAATTTTTCAAGATATTCTTAATTTAAAATTATAGTATCATCAGATGTTCATAGACAAAAAATCAGCATGCATTACCAGGGGTTTTAAATAGATATCAATTAATGAAAATTCTTGTAAAATTCAAAGAAAAATATACAAAAATTACTAAACATATATTCTAGACGTTTTTTTTTTTTTTTTTAAATCCAATTTTGTTTTAGAAGTGTCCAGCAACATATATAGACATTAAAATAGTAGCACACAGGTCCTTCAAGTATTGGAACTCTTCAATTCCAGGAAAAAAAGACAGTAAAGTTCAAACTACCTTGCGTATGTCCTTAGAATAAAAGTGAGATGCATCTCAAAGTTACATATTCTTCATGAATAACCATCACCATACAGAGAGGAGTCACCTCTAATTTACGTAGGAAAGTCCTGGCCCTCCTGAAACGAAGGTTCTCCATGAAGCAGCCACACTCCAAGGCCTGACTGGGGGACAGAAAAGCTGAGAAATCCTCCACTAAGTCAGGGAAATTCCTTAACAGCTCCCTCATTTCTCTATACAGCTGTAAATACAATATATCAATGTTATAATAATGTTTATCTATAACAACGACCGATTTTCAAGTGCAACTTTTCTCGGTGTTAATTGAGCCGTTTGTGTGATTAGTTACTTGTTAAGTTCTTATTTCAATTATCCAATCTGAAAGGTGCAAGGGACTTGAGAGTCAACTTAATATCATTCGTAGTTCCACAGGGTGCATATCATTACTGCTAATTTTCAAAATAGTCATTACCACAACATACTTATTACCGCAACAAAAAAGTATACATTACCGCTACATTGCCTCTTTCACTAGCCAGCGACTTGTGCATGCACTTATTGATATGAAATACAACATATACATGCATAAGACCTGCTTCCTTCTCTCACCATGGTGGTGAAAGCAGGACTTTGAGCAGAATTTTTTGCTTCATTTTTTTATTTAAAATCTTTTTCATTTAATAAACACAATTTTGACAGTTTCAAAAACCGAGAACTGTTCTTGGATAAAACACACAGAATTGGTAGAGCATTGAAGGCCATTTGCTTGATGTACTGCTCTCTGGAAATCTTACTGCATTGTATTTTAATATTTCACTTTCAGTTCTTTTCTTCTGAATCGATCATATTATGTTGAATAGAACTCATATTCTGTGCCTTTGCAGTCTGATTTGAATATGTAGCGGCAATGAATTGTAATCGCCAATTGTCTTATTGATAAAATGTAGTGGTACTGATCACCCAAAATTTTGAAGAAAAGTAGTTGTAATGAGTTGAAAATTTTTGGCAATGTAACAGTAACGTTGACCTCCCGTTACACATACTCTCAAGATATGATATATTTGTCACTGAACACGCTCCACATACTACTCAGCTCTTACTCTTAATAAATTATAATGAAATAAATAAATGTGCAAGCTAGATTATTATCTTTTTTCTTTTCCTCAATAATGAACCTTTCATGTTTCTCTCTTATAAAGTTATAACCTAGAGAAATTTTTTTACTAATTTTCCTTTTAGCCACCTTTTAAATAACCTTGGAACATCCCAATGACAGATCCTTGGGTCCTTAAGAATCTTTGCATGAAGTGCCAGTATAACCCCCCCCCCCATTTCTTGATTATCAGCCATTCATATGTGTGATGTGACATGTGGACAGACATGGCTGTTTTCTGTATTATAACTGTGAATTCCTTGCCTTGTCATACACACATATGAGTACATGTATACCATAAATACAACTAGAACTGTCCAAATGGGACAAATACCCCCCGCTGGGTTTTTCAGAGCTGCCAATTCACTAATATTTTATGGATCTGAGAGGTGTTCACAATTTTCTTATTAACATTTAGAGTGAAAAAATAATTGCTCATTATATTTTTTTTAATGAATGAAACCAAGGAACAACCTAATAAAACATCAATACCAATACATTGTAATTACATTGTTTTTTAATACATTGAAAAATAAATTGCAACAATCTGTCATCTTTTTGAGACATGACATTCTGTTGAAAAAAAAATCAATTAATTACAAAATCAGATTAATGTTGATAACTTTATATCAAATTCATTTTTAAAATGAAAGGCTGGTCATCCAGTAACTATGTACTATGACAGACAATAATTTACAATTAAGAGAATTAAAGAACAGAGATATTTAAATTCCCAGGAGATATAGATAACACATGCTTGATCAGAGATGCCCTAACAACTTCCCACACTGAACTCATTAATTTATCTCTAACTGGATGATGTCCACTCATTACTCTCAAGGGACAAATGGATTTACACTATCTGCTGTGTAATGTAAAAATTGTTTTTAATACTTGGTGATTTTTTTTTTGGTTTTAATGAATAGTTTTAAGCTGTAGTTCACATTTTTGTACAGATGTTTTAGATTCTATGTCTCAAACCTTAGAAATAAACCCAAAATGACTAAGTCAATAAAAATGAAGAAGAAAAAACTGAAAATTCAGAAAAATCATCAAATAATATTGAAAATACCAGGTGCACATTTTCATGTGGTAAATATTGAGTGTACAAATTTTCATACAATTCTAAGAAATAGTCTTTGAGAAAAGGTCGGGACAAAACCACATAATAAAAATGAAGAAAAATTATTCAATCATGATGAAAATACCAGGTGCATACCTTCATATGGTGAATAATAAGTGTACAAATTTTCAGACAAATCTATGCAATAGTTTCCGAGAAACGCTCTGGACAAAATCTTGTCTACAGACAGACAGACATGGTGATTCCAATATACCCCCCCTAAACTTCATTTGCGGGGGGTATAATAAACTTTTAAAATTTTGTTTTCTTTACACTAGCTAGCCCAATATGGGCATAATTACAAATCCCTTCACTCATGGATGCTACGTATCAAATTTGTAATTGGTTCAGTTATTTTAGAGAAGAAAATGAAATTGTTCCAAAGTTATGATAATGCAAGTCATTTACTCCAATGGACAGAAAGTGACATACTGAGTGACTCTACAGACCTAACAAATTAACAGACCTCTGGACCTTATTACACCGGTATAATGAACTAATAGATATAGAATTAGTTTATTTAGACTGACTTGTAATCCATATCAATTAAGTATAATACTTTTAATAATTACACATTATTTCTAACATTTATGTCACACACTCTTATATCATATTGTACTTTTAAAACAGCTGGTCTCACTGACATTTTATTACTTTCAATATTGACATAGAAATCTATTTTGAGATACAGGCATGATTTGGGCACGCGAAGACCACAAGCTATACCTCAGACTAGCTGTAATTTCTGAGAGAATGTTAAAAAATAATACTGGATTATCCTCGCTTTATGACATGTAATGTACATTATCTTATACCTGACATTTTTATAGAGCCACTTAATGACTCTGAAAAAGCCCTCAAATGTACCACACAAGATAACCTCAGTTAATAAAAAAATTTAACACAAAAAGTAAGAAATAGGCAATAAAGCTATAAACTTTGAATGCTGTTGATATTTCTAATGACCATATTGACAGTCATTATCTTAGTTTTATGTCTTGTTAGGCCCTGATCATTGTCCGAGCTTATTTTACTTGTTTACATTGTTAGAAATTTATAACATTTTTATGTCTTAAATGGTATAATGGACAGAAGAACAAATAAATGCTGCATTAAATTATTTATTCATCTTAAAATTATCTAATCTAATTTTTGGACAATAAAAGATGGAAATAAATTTTAAATCACATGAAATTATTTTTAGCATAGTGGATTTACTTTTAAAATTTTCAAATGAGTGTGTTTTGTATTTGTTTTGCAATTCTTTTTGAAAAGTCTATTATCGAATCACTTATTTGATATTTCATAATTTCTTTTATGTAATTTGACATATTTCTATCAATACGAGGGATATGAAAAATACATTTTTACAGTTTATTTTTATTTTTTAATCATTTTTTCTCCACAAAAATATATTCAATGTCAAAAAGTTGAATTATATATCCATCCTTTATTCTGAAACACTTTACCTCTCACTGACAGGTGTAGGACTTATCAAATTAAGACTGAAATCAATATCATTGGTTAGCAGGTTAAGTTTGAGGGATGTCTCATTTCAAAATAGGACCAAAAATAGTTATCATAAATCCCAGGTAAAGTCCTGCACAAAAGTTTTCCCCCACTATTTTATTCCAGATAAATGCAGATCTAAGATGTACTGTGCTAATCAATGTGTCCTTGGCCTTGTCCAAATAATGACCTTATTCTAGGACTTTACATCTAATTGAGCATATGTACTATCTGGCACTGCAAAGCTTGAAGAAAGTCTTGTTCTGTGATACATGTATAATTAAATTTCTTATTCAAAATGCATGACTTTCAGTTGATATCGAATGACCCAAACTTTACAGGTGTCTTCTATTTGAAAACAAAAAATAAAAATGGATTTAATTAAGCTTATCCTTGAAAAATTCCAAGTTACTGCAAATTATCTGAAATATAATGTCCATATCAATACTCTCGATCCCAATGCCATGTCCGCACTTGTGGCCTTCTGGCCTGAACCTTTGTTAAAAGGACACCAAAAGCAAAGATTTTTCTTTCTGAAATCTGTCTTTATCAAATGAATTTAGTCAATATAACTTTGTAGGTAAAAAAAAATCCACATTTTTGCATCACACTGCAAAAAAAATTAACCTATGACCCTGTTTAAGTCATCATCAAACCAGTTATAATCTACATACCAAAGATGAAGTCTGTAGGTTACAATGTATCTGATTATCACATTCATTATCATGTTAATATTCTCAATCAATAATATCTACTTTTGAGTTTGACCTATGACCAAGTTTATTCAAAATCTGTTGATAATTCACCTAGACATTTTGAAATGACTACTATATGTAAGTAATATGTATGTAATGTCTTTAAATAGTTGCTAAAAACATACTTTTTAAAGACTTCTTTTCCTAAGTTTTAAACCCCTATGATTTTTTATTTTTTAAAATGTCTCAAATGCTTTTTTTTTTCTTTTTCTTTTTTTTTGAAAATCTTTTTTTGTGATGTAAATATCTGATTTTACTATTTTTATTAAACTTCTCTTTTTCTTGTATGTTTCTCCATTTTTATGCATCCTTTTTTTTTCTTATTCTGTTTAAAGCTTTAATTCCTATCTTGTACATATATTTTACTATAATCTTATTGCTAAGCGCCTTAGAGTAATTTTTATTATATAGGGCGCTCTACAAATGTTTATTTATTTTGTATAAGTCAGTTAAGAGTTAGTTTAAAAAAAAATCCAAGCTATTGCATCATATAAATATGAAATGTTAAAATAATTATTTTGCCCTCTGAGTCCTTGACTTTGATCAAATGGCTTAGTAAACTGTATATGTCTTATATCTTCCTATTACTATCCTCCACTTATGTATACTAAATAGGAACTGGATTGGAAGATAAATTTTGTATGACTAAAAAATGTATTGACATGCATACTAACAAGGTGATTATTATATAGCACCAATACTTTGATTTGGGCCTGAAATAAATTCATTTCTGTAACAAACCTTTGTTTAATCTTTCTGTTGAAAAATGCTAACGCCAGTTGTATTATCACCAGTATAACTTTTGAGCCACACTGTACAGTGACAATTAACTTTGGAACAATACACATTATGGTACAATTGCCCCCACACACTTCATCTATCATTATTCTCAACTTTTCCATTGAAATGACAAATTCTTCATTTCCATTTCCACCCATTTAAAAGGAGAATTGTATTTAGTACATCTTTGCAAGGACTCCAAATAGATTATCCTTTGACTGTTTATAGACCTCAAACAAAGCAAAGGATTTGACAACAAGATGTAAAATGTGCTTTGTTTAATAGACTTCATGTGTATTGTGGATGTCGAGGGTCATGATATTTGAACAATCAGAAAGACTATATCCCACTCAAGAGTAAATTTGAGCTGCCTTGCTATTCAAGTGTTGATTTAACTGATGACAACAACTTTTCCTTGGATTTTTCTTACCCAATCCGGATTCAGAGTAAACATCACTATTGTTTTGGATAACAGCTGTGATGAACACAATACTTTTTAACTTGTGAGTGCAGAAAGGAAAAATATATGTCAAAAAGCAACCAAGGAGAATATGACATCTCTCAAGTCAAAGAAGATGTATTACATTTTCTAAAAAGTGAAACATAAACTACATTAGAAGAAAGTAGGATCTTGGACAATGACCTGTCATTCTGACCAACAAGCTTTATGAAGGCTGCATGAAAAAATCTTTCATGTTTAATGTTATATTTTTTCTAGTGAAATTTGTTTTATGCCTATGTTTTCAACAACAATGGAGAATTACAACATAGTGATGCATTTTGGCAATGAGAGTGTACACAATGATTCCATGGAAACAACACCATCCCCTCCTATAAACCAGCCTCGGCCAACACTACAAGACATTCTGAACCAGCACTGGGAGTATCGCTTTGCCCAGGCTTTTGGTTTATATGTATTCCCCATTGTCATTTTTCTGGGAACCATTGGAAACATATTAACTTTTATAGTTCTATGCAGACATTCCATGAGAACAACTTCCACCTGCATTTACATGCAGGCCATTGCAGTCCTGGATTTAGCCGTGCTGTATATTAATGCTTTCAGGAGGTGGCTGACAATTCTGAATGAAGGTACAGACATTTCCACCAGAAGTCAAGCTGCCTGCATAACCATTCATTTTTTTTCTTACTTCACCTACCACTATTCTGTCTGGTTAGTGGTGGCAATGACAGTGGAGAGATTTATTGCAATTCATTTTCCTCTAAAAGCTGCCCAAATGGCCACAATCTCAAGAGCAAGAAAGGTAACGATACTGCTTTTTATCATTTTTGTTGCCATTAACAGTCATATATTTTGGACAGTGACCATTGATGATCGTGAATTCTGCATCCCTGAAAAGGAATACGAAGATTTTCATGACAATGTGATGCCATGGTTGGATGCTGCCATTTATTCATTTGCTCCTTTTGTCGTGTTGCTAACGTTTAACATTTTAATCATTTATGACAACAGGAAGGCTACTCTAAGACGACGTTCCATGCGGAGCCAGAATCAAAGAAATAACAGAACAGATTCCAGACAGCAATTTCACCAAAGACTAACGGCCATGTTGCTTTCCGTCTCCTTTACATTTCTAGTGTGCACTAGCCCTAAAGTTATCTTCATGTCCATTAGAGAGAGTGCTTTTCAGTTCATTGTTGATGGAAAAGTGAATTACCATGGTTATGCCTCATATCTAATGGCTTCTCGTATATCTGACTTTTTTGTGTATTTAAATCATTCCATAAACTTTTTCCTGTACAGCATTCATGGACAGAGATTTAGACGAGAGCTAAAGAAAGTATTGTGCTGTGCTAGAGGTGGATTAAGAAGGCTTAGCACAATCTCTCAGAGCCTGGATGGAGTTGTTAATAGTCGTGTAACAACTGACACATTTACGTTAAGCAGCTATCGTACAAGGAACAGCTCTGGCATTGTTAATCATAATCCAGCTTATAACATCACAGACAATGACGAGTGAATTCTTTTGAAACTTTGCATCGAGAAATATAATTCTGCTTGCTTTCTATGGTTTCTTATCAATAATTTTACGGGACATATTGCTTCTTTTACAGCTAAATAAATATATATAATGCGGCTTAAATCTTATGATCTTTCCTATTCCAGTGAAAATGTAATTGGGTTCATTGTTTTTCATCTTGTTAACCTTTTAACATCCTTATATCATATTAAATGACTTAAAATCTACAAATGGTAAATAATCCCCTTCATTATCTTTTTTAATCAAAGCTTGTTCAGTTGGAATTCTTGCTAAAGAAGTGGGAACCATAGTATTGTTCTGCCACCTACCTCCAAGTAAAATTTCAAAATATTTAGGAATCAACAGTAACATTGTCTGCCCTCCTTTTAAATAAAATTGTAATTAAGAGTACTAGAAAAATGAGCAGTCAGCAAGGGCTCTGCAGAGGGATAGAAATCTAAGGTTGCAGCTTAAAAGATGTGAATTAGACTTAGGACAAAATTGTTTAAGGAAATGTAGAAATATATGAAGAATATGAAACAGCAAATATTTTTATAAAAATTTGGAATTATATTTCCTAAATGACAAATGAGATTATCCAACTACTTGTTAGAAATTCATACACTGTTGTATCCTTGTACTTACATAAGGGAGTAAAAAAACATATGATATAATAATTCAATTAAATGTACATGAATATTTAAACCAGAAAGTAGCATTCATTTCATAAAATGCCAGCCTTTGGTGAATGCAAAAATTACCCAGACTTCAACTTAACTTCAAGACAAGCATCACTTGCAAACAGAGGTTTATAAAAGAAATTTTTTTAGTGTACAAATCGGATATGTCATTTTTAAAATGTGCATAATATCAAATTTCTGTGGCAGTCGAGTGTATATTGTGCAGAAAGATTAAAAAAATAAAAATTAACACTGTGCACTGAAAAAAATGTTCCATGTATAGTTGAATTTTCTTGACAATACATTATATAGAAGATATAAATTATCCTTGACCAAAGCGCCTATGGGTATGATAAACACTGGGAAAGGGGTAGATTAACTTCAGTGAAGTTACTTCACACACCAATATTTTTCTCAAAATAATTTTGAGGGATTAATTTGAATAAATCTTGTTATGAAGATTAGAATCATTGTGGAATTAATCCTACATGCATGAGGTAATCTTGTACATGAGGAGATATGCAGCACACACCTTGTACAATGTAGCTCTCCTAAGACAGACAAAAGGGCAGACAGATTAATACGTTTACTTAATTACTGTAGGGCACACAAGTCCTAATATGAATCCAGTTCATGAGTTAAATACAGTTGAACTTTGGAATCTCAAACACCAATGTCTCGAATACCATGGATATGTCGAAATAATTTGGAAGTCCCAACCACTTATTCTTTATGTGTTATCTTGAATCCTTGGATATCTCAAAGATTTTTCTCTAGCCATTGAATTTGAGATAAAGAGGATTGACTGTATCAATTACTGAATACCAGCTGATATCCATATCTATCTGCTCTCTTCCTCATAAATTCATTGATCCTTATCAATTGGTGATGAAAATAATTCAAACTTTAGATGTAGAAATGAAATATTTTAAGCTGGTTCCGTAATTTTTAATTACATTTTTTTTTTTGTATACCGGTTACGGTATATGAAAATGTAGATTCTTGAAATGTCTAAACGATAATTGATTATCATATTTTAGTTCTTAAATCTGATGTTAGGAAGTTCATTCATGTAAAAAAAAAATGAGTTTCATTACTAAAGACACATGTAAATTCCTCAAAATTAAGTTCCTTAGAATCAATGTGCTGCTATTCTACATTTTTCTTACTTTTACTGGTGACTGTTCAGATTTTCCAAACTCGTACAGGATTTTTAGAAATTGTTCATATGTGGTAAAATCATCTTTCAGGTCCTCTGCTGCCTTGGTTAAGTAAGCTTGTGCAAATGCTGTGTCTCGATCATCTTTCTACAAACCAAAAGGAATGGATTATAAATTACATGGACATGTTTACTTCACTTCTGATAAGCTTTTAAAAAACATCTTTCCCCCTGAGTTTTAAAACTAAATATACATTCTTTGAGTCTAATTTAGTAATTTCATAATTTTTTGCTGAACATCAAATCTCAATGTTTTTCAAGGTTGAGTCAGATATGATGATCAACACACTACAAATTCTAATAATGAATTGGATGAGGAAGCTGTCCTCAAATTTACATATCAATGAAAGGGTATTCTTTTGCAAAATCAATGAAATTTGATCTCCCTACTTCAATGAAACCAAAGTAATGTCTCAATTTAAAATAAATTAATACCAGTATACAGTAAGTAAAAATCTTGAGGCAAAGAATTTGTTTCATGAATATCTTACTCGTTCTCAATTATTTTATTAAAAACTTTCAAAATGGCATATTGCTATATATTATTAATAAACATTTATTTCAATTTAACCCTTGATTTTTATTTATGTCTGTAATAACCTAGAATTTTATTGGTAAATGTAAAAGTATACAATCATTTTACCAGAGGGTCTGTTTCTACAATATCTGGGGCCAGCATGGCTAGGGCAGAATCTTTTCTTCTCTTTGTTTTGCTGGACAGATCTTTAGAGTCTTTTGACAGAATGCTCTTTGGATTAAATCTGGTTAGAAAAAAGAGCAACTGTTATGTATCTTAAAAAATTTTGTAAAATAAACAAAGCTATTAACTTATTGATTATTCAATAAAAATACAAAATTAATGAATATTACTTATTTTTTCAATAAAAACATACTTTATCTGTGAAATACATTGTCCATGAAGAGAAAATTGGTAGTTGTTTAAAACAATTAGAAATAGATCCTTAATAAGACTGGAGAAGCTGCGTAGTTACTTGATAGTGGTGCTGGCAGCCATGAGATCGGCTATGTGCTCGGACTCCTCTTCATTGTCGTCCTGACTGTCGTAAAGATTGGATTCGTCTACCTCTGTATCATCACTCTCCACAGAGTTACGCAGCTCTCGGTTTTTGTGGAACTTCTTCTGAAGATTTTTTCGTGCTGATCGCTTCTTATCACCGACATCCTCCATTACTTCATCAGACAAATATTCTGATTCTACTGTTAAAAACAAAACTGAATACTAGAAACATTGTGTCTCCCATTATCAACTGTATTTCATCACTCCCGCACAATTGTTTTTTTTTCTTGTCATAACATGTTTCTCTAATTCTTCATTCCTTGATTTTTTTAATTGTGAAAAGAAACTCAACAAGGCTTCTTTTGACAATTAAAAAAAAAAATAAGGTACTCAAGTTAAAGAAAAACCAGTAACTCACAAAATTTGAGGAACTTATATTTACATGTATTGTCCCTCATCTGAAGAAATAACAAATATAGTACATGTTAAACTACATAAAGCCCACTGTTACCTGTGTCACATTCACTAGCTGTTTCCATTCCCTCCTCCTCTGTTTCTGTCTCATCTTTCAGCAACTCAGCGGGGACCTCATGTGATGCTAATCCTTTGGTCTGAATGTGAAGTTCATTTCTGGGCAGGCCCGGTGGACGTGGTAGTATTTTACAGTGGGTTTTACCCAGAACTCTGTTCATGATCTGGGAGGCAGCCTTCTTGGATGGTGATATCACTGTTTTGACCACAAGTCCTTTGGGGCATATTGCCCTGGCCTTCCTCTGTAGCTGTTGCCTCCTAGGGCTTTTTCTAGGACTTTTTTGAGGACTTAAAAATGGACTTACAACAGTGGCTGATGATGTGTATGGTTTAGGAGCAAGAGGTCGATACCTGCTTTTAACTGGCGTGGTCTCCTGAGCTTTCTGAACAAAGCTTGCTGGGCCTTTTTTGGGAGACAGCATTAAAGAAGAATATGCAGCCACAATATCTAGGGCTGATTTCATTGGGCTCGCTGACACCAAAGGCTTAGACTGAGTAGATGATAAACTACTCAGTGATCCAATTAAATGGGCTCTACATGATGTTTTATTTTTGTCTGATTCCTGCTCTTCTGTTCTATTTGTAGATGGAAGTTGGTTTACATGTAATTTATTTTCAATTGGTATACCAAGTAGTTTTGCTGAATTGTAATTCTCGTGATGATGTTGAGTTATAATCTGGTGTGTAGAGGTGACCGTTTTTCCTGAGGTCTGCTGTACATTTGTGGACTGATTTACACTATTTAAAGCATTCACTGAAGATATAACAAGAGCCTGTATTTCTCTTGAATTTTCGACAGGTTTTGGTGATTCATTATAACTGTTGTCAGCTACCAGTGTGGTATTAAGACTACTGTCTGAAACATCAGTCTGAACAACACCAGAATCTGTCAAATTACTGTCACCGAAAAACACATTTCCTACATTACTCTGCCTCTCTTTGTTTCCTCTATTTTCAGCGTTCATATCATGCTCACCAACACTTGCATTCTGATTTGTGCTCCCTTCTGTTGGCTGATTGCTTTTGCTCTCTACAGGACTAGGAACATTTTCAACCATTCTTATCAGAATAGGACTACCAGGATTTCCCAGGATTTCAGTTTGGCCTGACTCCTGATGTAGTGGTATAAACCCAGGGGAAAATGGCACCTTTTTCAGTCTGAAAAATAAATCTATGTTAAATGACTTTAAAGATTTGAACATTTTTCAACTACCACAAAAATCTTACCATTTTTACAAATTCAAATGGCTTCATATATTTACTGATTAGAGATTTATTTACTGAAAATTTTACAGAATTTAGTACTATTATCACCAAAATTTTTTGAAGTAAAATATAAAAAAAAATTTCACCTGCTTGGAGACTCTGATCTAGCATCAGAACCTTTGATACTCATTTGCTTCTTTATAACTTCCTTGGATAAATCAGTTTCATTTGAATCTCTTTCTTTATTTTTCATTTTAACAGTTGGCTCAATATTATCAGGAGAAATACACCTCTCTGACTGTATAGACATCCCTGTGCTGCTATGGAATTCCTCTTGAATATGCTCACAGGGATTTGACAATAATGCACTATTCTGGGGTGTAGGTGTCCACAATTTTTTGTTGAGAGTCTCTGATACCTGACATTTCTGTTCAATTAAACTTGCCATGCTTTGACAAGAAGAACTTATCACTGCCTGATTTGATAATGTGGGCCCTGTCACCGTTTGGCTTGATTGAGTCTGGATTGGCAAGTTCGGAGCTGACACAGTCTGATTAGAAAACACGGGAACTGGTGTAACACCAGTACACAAGGTATTTAAACTATGTGTTGATGAAACAGGAAGAATGACACTTGAACTGGTGTTCAGTGGTAACACTTTTTGACTACATTCAGATGATAAACTGCTAGAATTATTATGATTTCTCTGACTGGCTAACATATTACTGGTGAAGTTCTGATCAGCTGACATTTGACTGCAGGATAATGGTATTCCAAGAGTTTTGGTTGAAAAGGGAATTTCTGCATCACAAGCTGAAGAAACTGGTATGTTAGTGAGAACAATGGCATTAAGGGGTAGTGAACTCTGTGAAGCCTTCGTTTCTATAACAGGAGTTACAGGCCTTTGAGACACATTGGACTTCTCAGGGGTAAGGTTTGGGACAATAATGACAGTACAGGGTTTATTTTGGTCCTGTGTTTTGGTCATAGGTGTCACAGGAGCTGAACAACTCTTTGAATCCTCAGCCTGTAAAATTGATGTGAAATGTCTGGTCATAAATAAATAAGTTTTCCCCCAAGTTTCTAGTCTTAAAACAAAAATAAGAAAGCAAAATGTTTCTTGGGAGTGGTACCCCATAAAATACCATGGATTCAGGAGGTAAGATGAATTTTTTCACTGAATAGCTGTAAATGAATTAATAAAATAAGGATAACATTTTTCTTAGCAGAAATTTTCTACAATGCCAAAATAATCCAACCTTTCCCTTCTCTGATGACATCAGAGGAATGTTTACACTAGATGACCTCTGCATATTTCCATATTTCTCATGAGCATCTTCAGTGTTGGCCATAATTTCACGGATTTTGAGCTCTTTGCACCAAGTTGGCAGTTTTCCAGTATCTTGATCTTTAGGAGCTTTCATATCATTTGGTGAAAAAATTCCAGTGAAAGTCTGAAAATCTGGCAATTTCTTGGTCAGTTTGTAGTTCTATAAAAATTTTTATAAAAATAGTTTCAGTCAATAAAAGCAAAAACCAAATTTTCTCTTTAAAATCAAACCAAACTGAATCTATATCTACGTAATAAAGCTAAGAAAGATTTATAGTTCTCCACATGATACTTAGTACCTTAATAATGTTTGGAGAGGCTTTGGAGCTGGTTAGATTCTTGATGCGAACTCTTATCTGCTCCTCTGTTTTACAAGGAAGAAGAAATTTTCTTATCAATTGGTGAAAGTATGGCAGATGTTTGAATTGGTCCAATCCAAGAGCCATCAATCTGAAAGTGTGAACCCTGATTTGTTAGTGTCTTTTAAACTTAATATTTCTTAAAAATTTGTATTAATATACATGTAAATGTAAATGCAGTTACTTTGTCACTTTTTGTCTTGTACAAATAGTGCTGATTATGTAAAATTAATTCAACTTAAATTAATTACAGATAATACTTTTACTGTTTTCCTTTTATAATGTTTTATTTGCATACATGAAATTATTTCTAAAAGATCTATAATGTCTTTCTACAGCTAGTATTGGTAGTCATTACACTCAGGCCAATTTCTGTATGATAATATTATGCTTAGTCTTAGAAATTAATGGCAACAATTGGCTATCACATTAATGGTTAGCAATGACTCCTATAAGGAAGGTTTTATTTAGTACTGTGTAATCTAACTTCTAGTAATAACTTACCTGTCCTCTGATTCCGTGAAGGCCACCCTTCTTTTTGTTTCCTGAAGGTCACCTCTAAACAGGAAGCTCCCACTCGGCACCAGTTCTGGGTACATAAAAACAGGACTAGTCCAGATCAGCTGTTTCTGTTGGTTGGTGAAGTGAGGAATGGTCAGTCTATTGGACTGCAGTCTCTCACCTATTGCCTTTGCTTCAATGAATAATCATACACAAATATATCAGAACTATCCGGTAATTCATACATGTACATTAGTCACTAAAACTGATGATGATAAAGCATAGACTGAAATTCTTACAAGGTGTATCTCCTACAATGTTGAGGATTAGATCCTTTTTCCTCTTTGACAAGGTGTGGTAATTTTGTACTAACAGTGAGGCGATGGACTTCTCAGAGGAAATATACTGAGTACTTCTGTCTGTAAAATTGCGGTAAAGCATCAAATACTGTAAACCAACTTTTAATCACATGCAAGATATCTTTAAGTTTTCGTGACCTATTTTTTTTCACCATCATTTTTTCACCACTAACCATTATGCAGAATGTTTTCTTGGTCGTAAAAATTGTCATGGATGGATTTCAATCTGATGAATCAAGAACTTGTCAAGAATTGTTGGTTTACAGTAGGTGCATTAATTTGTAAAGCATGCAAGACAGTTCCTTCCCCCTCAGATAATCATTTAATTTTTAAGCTAAATATAAATTTGATTATGAGAAAGTCTGATTGATAAGACATGTATGTACTGTGTTTGTTCCTCTCTATCTGCTCCCATTCCTCTGTTTTATTGACCAGTTTTACAGCTTCCTTCAGATTTGTGGCATTATACATGGAACTAGGTGTCAGGTACTGAGTATTAGTGACACTGAATTGATGTAGTTCCATCTGCAAAAATCAGCAATTGATGCACATAATTTAACTACAGATTTAAAAAAATAAAGTGCTTGCTACTTTCAAATAACTTTGACATATCCATGGTATTCGAGATATCAGTGTTTGAGATGCCAAATTTCAGTTGTACATGCATATATTTCAGGAATATTTTTTTTTTATTTTAAAGCTGTGAATCTTAAAGAAATGTGTCATATTCAATATTCTCACCAGAAGATTTTTACTGTAGTCAGCGACCTCTTTGTACTCAGCCTGGTTTCCCATAGCAGAGACATACATCTGAGTTAACAGCTGTACATGCTGCAGAAAACAAAAAGGTTTCAAATATCAGCATAAATCAGAATATGGGGGGAAAAACAGCAAGGACTGATGTATTTCCTAACCATTGTACAGAGTTCATGTATATACAAATGTAACATGTCTTCTAATTTGATTAAATTTTTAATATTCCACCCTTTTTATTTTTTTTTAAAATTCTGTTACTTATACTGATGATGTTTTATCAAATTGAATTTATAATAGTCATTTTCATTTCAATGTTGTTTTGATATATCCCTTTAAACTAAAAATAAAAGACACCACAGAGTCTGACACATCTGTTTCATATTTAGATATTTTACTAGAGAAATACATTAGTGGCAAACTAACAAAAAAACTTTATGATAAATGTGATGACTTCTACTTTTCTATCATCAACTTCCCTTAATTATGTAGTATACCATTATCACCTCTTTATGGAGTTTATGTCTCCAAGTTGATTCAATAAGCAAGAGCATGTTCTATGTACAAACAATTTCTAAAATTAGACAAGCTATTGACAAGGAAGTTGATGATACAAGGATATCAAGCGTCTTGTTTAATGTCAACATTTCCCACATTCTATGTTCAATACAATGACCTTGTTAGCAAATACAATTTTCAATGAGTCGAATTGTTTGGCCATTATTTTCACACTGCATTGTCTATGGATATTTCCGTTTGCCCAATCATGACAAGGAGCACAAGGTGGGTGTGACAGTTCAACAGGGGTGCTTACTACTCCATGACACCTGATCCCACCTCTGATATTTAAGAGGTTTGTGTTTGCTATGCACCCAATTTGTGTTGTTCCAATGGACTTTTGAGCTTGATTCCTGTTTGTTACCTTAATATTTCATTACCTTTCTCATTTGGTCAGCTATCTGTTCTCTCTCGTGGTCAGATATAACATAAAACTGATTCTCCGTACTCTGTGGCTGACTGTCCGTCTCTAATACCTGCCTCTTATAATGGGCCCTAGTAAAATACAAAAACAGTCACATTTTACCTGAATGAATTTTATTTACATACATGTATAATGTAAGGAGTTCTCCAAATGATTTTACTTCAATTTTACAGAGCACCAACTCCGATTACTTATTGAAAAGAGGATATTTGAAAATTAAATTTTGTGAATAATGCAATGATAATGTTGTAAAATAAAGTGGCATAAAATATACTATACATGTACATATATTGGCATATTCAAAATTAATCGCAATCACTGTGTATGGAGTTGTTGGCATGATCATGAATTAGTGCTACACATGTCCGTGCCATGTATTGTATATATAAATGATTTCTTAGCGGTATTCATAAATTAGTGCATTGTTGTCTGCGCCAAAGCCACTAAAATATGAAGCCCACTTTTTTGTAAGCACACATACAGTAAAAGATTTACAGTGCTACTGGCATTCTCAATTGAAAACACTTGATGTCATGATTTATTTTTTTTTTTTTGACTTGGAACATGTACAGAGTATTTAGTAAAATCATTGATTCTCTTTTTCCTTACTTTGCTTTGACTTTCATGGCTTTCTTTTCATCTTCTTCCAATGGCTGTGTTTCCTGATAATACTCAAAGAGTTCATCCATCAATGTATTCATTTCCTTCTCTGTAAACAAACATATATCAAGAGTAAGATAGGCTAAAATTTGTTTTACTTTTAACAGACAAACACTTGCTCCCACAGACGATTTTCTTTCTCTGTTCAATTCAATTAGAATATTTCAATAGTAATAAAAAAAATACACTGTAATCAATCCTGGGAAATCAGCTAAGCTGGATCAAAGATGGGTAATAAATTGCATCATGTGTATAAACAAACAGAGAAATTAGCTACACAAAATTGATAATATTTTAATGACTGACTGGATATTTTCACAGCTCTGTCGTTCCGGAGTTCCTCATCGCTGTCAATCAGATCATCAATCTCAGCAAGGTAGTTGTACTCGGGATCCTCATCATCCATTCCATCATTGGTGTTCTCCGATTCTGTTTGACACAGAAATTTACACACACATCAAATCTTTGTATTATAGATACTATTATTATTGTATTATTAAAGGAAGCATTAATTCCCTACTTTATAATTATAACTGTACTGATGTTATTGACTTCTACAAATGAGCTTTGGAGAAAGAGTTTACTGTAATGCTCCTGATCTGTTTTGAAATGTTAAGAGTAGACTTTATTAAAAAATTTCAAAAATCGTGAAAAATACATTGCTGAGCACACACTACATTTTATGTTGTGTATTTGGCATTACAATGGATATAATCTACTGTATAAAGCTATACTGTCAGGTCACTTACAACAAATAAAATACATTTACACCTTGCTATCTCAGACTCTGTTGTATGTCAGACATGAATCTTTGATTTCCAGTGGTTCAAAACATCAAGTTGAGAATCAACTTCATCATATGTAAACTCACTTTGACAATTCTATGATATGCAGCTTAACAATAATTCAACTTTCCATAGTCTTATTCCTGCTTCAAATTTGTCATTATTAATAATACTAAATTGAAGCAGAAACAATGCCATAGCACAGGAAATATATAAAAAGCTTCTGATAAACACTGACAAAGCAGGTTTTCATTTTTTCATTAAATTGAGTAGGAAATGTCATATTCATCTTAAACCTCCTACTTTATACCGACAAAAGCTTATTAGAGTTATAAGTACATACAAGTCTATGTAGACAGAGAGAGAGAGAGTTAAGAATAAACCTGGAGGTTTGTAGAGGGACTGGAGGAATCCCTGCCAATCCTCATCCTCACACTCATTGTCGTACATGTCAGGGGTGAAATCAGGGGGAACAAAAGTGGACTCCAGCTCAATAATGGACGTGTCCTCCAGAGATAATTTAGACCTTGTTCTGGCTGCTATCGTTTGTTCCTCCTGTTTTACAAAGAAAACATTCATCTAACTAAAATTCAATGGTTCAGCAAAGTCAGCTATCACAGATCTTTGTAGTTGTGTCTTTCTTATTCATTAGAATGTAGCATGTAGAAAAATATACTGCAAATAAATACTCATTTAATACTAAATAACATGAAATTTCATTTTTTTGAAAGTACTCTTTGCTCTTCATTAAATTTTAAGTATCACTGTTAATCCTGTGTATAACACAACAGCAGTGATCATTCTGTATTGATTATAACACAATAGCAGTGATCATTCTGTACTGATTATAACCCAACAACAGTGATCATTCTGTACTGATTATAACCCAACAGCAGTGATCATTCTGTATTGATTATAACACAACAGCAGTGATCATTCTGTATTGATTATAACCCAACAGCAGTGATCATTCTGATTATAACACAACAGCAGTGATCAGCAGTGATCATTCTGTACTGATTATAACACAACAACAGTGATCATTCTGTATTGATTATAACACAACAGCAGTGATCATTCTGTATTGATTATAACACAACAGCAGTGATCATTCTGTACTGATTATAACCCAACAACAGTGATCATTCTGTATTGATTATAACCCAACAGCAGTGATCATTCTGTACTGATTATAACGCAACAGCAGTGATCATTCTGTATTGATTATAACCCAACAACAGTGATCATTCTGTACTGATTATAACCCAACAGCAGTGATCATTCTGTATTGATTATAACACAACAGCAGTGATCATTCTGTATTGATTATAACCCAACAGCAGTGATCATTCTGTATTAATTTTAACCCAACAACAGTGATCATTCTGTATTGATTATAACCCAACAGCAGTGATCATTCTGTACTGATTATAACCCAACAGCAGTGATCATTCTGATTATAACACAACAGCAGTGATCATTCTGTACTGATTATAACACAACAGCAGTGATCATTCTGTACTGATTATAACCCAACAACAGTGATCATTCTGTACTGATTATAACCCAACAGCAGTGATCAGCAGTGATCATTCTGTATTGATTATAACCCAACAGCAGTGATCATTCTGATTATAACCCAACAGCAGTGATCATTCTGTATTGATTATAACACAACAGCAGTGATCATTCTGTATTGATTATAACCCAACAGCAGTGATCATTCTGTACTGATTATAACCCAACAGCAGTGATCATTCTGTACTGATTATAACCCAACAGCAGTGATCATTCTGCACTGATTACAACACAACAGCAGTGATCATTCTGATTATAACACAACAGCAGTGATCATTCTGTACTGATTATAACCCAACAACAGTGATCATTCTGTACTGATTATAACCCAACAGCAGTGATCAGCAGTGATCATTCTGTATTGATTATAACCCAACAGCAGTGATCATTCTGATTATAACACAACAGCAGTGATCAGCAGTGATCATTCTGTACTGGTTATAACACAACAGTGATCATTCTGTACTGATTATAACCCAACAGCAGTGATCATTCTGTACTGATTATAACACAACAACAGTGATCATTCTGTACTGATTATAACACAACAGCGGTGATCATTCTGTACTGATTATAACACAACAGCAGTGATCATTCTGTACTGGTTATAACACAACAGCAGTGATCATTCTGTACTGGTTATAACACAACAGCAGTGATCATTCTGTATTGATTATAACCCAACAACAGTGATCATTCTGTATTGATTATAACCCAACAGCAGTGATCATTCTGTACTGATTATAACCCAACAGCAGTGATCATTCTGTATTGATTATAACCCAACAGCAGTGATCATTCTGTATTGATTATAACCCAACAGCAGTGATCATTCTGTACTGATTATAACCCAACAGCAGTGATCATTCTGTATTGATTATAACACAACAGCAGTGATCATTCTGTACTGATTATAACACAACAGCGGTGATCATTCTGCACTGATTATAACCCAACAGCAGTGATCATTCTGTATTGATTATAACCCAACAACAGTGATCATTCTGTATTGATTATAACACAACAGCAGTGATCATTCTGTACTGATTATAACCCAACAGCAGTGATCATTCTGTACTGGTTATAACCCAACAGCAGTGATCATTCTGTATTGATTATAACCCAACAGCAGTGATCATTCTGTATTGATTATAACCCTTTCCTGCAAAAGATCCTTTTATAATGAAGATAAAGAAGAAAATTCAAAGTTTTATGGAATATACATGTATATGTACCTGTAATATACTGCCCAAACACAGAACAAAGTAATGTACCTTAGTTTTCTCACTCATATCCTCTACTTCTTGGAATTTCTTATTAAGTGACTGTCTGTATAATGGAAGTTTACTTGGTGGACCCATGGGACTAAGAAATGGCTACAAAGAATTTAAACAGTAAAGCATTGCAATACAATGTAATTGGTGTGACTCTTTTAATCACATCATAATTTATAACATGCAGATTATTTTTAACTGAATGAATTGCAAACACAGGTTACAAGTTTGTTTGCTCTCTTTTCTTCAAATCACCCGATGTAATGATTTACTTACCCCTTTATATTCTTTTTCAGTGGTAGTGGCATTCCTTGTGTCTAAAGTTAGTCCCACTGACGAGACTGGTGTCCTGGGTGTGGCCGGAGTTGAAGGACAGGGGGAACCAAAGTCACTCATCTGTGAAGAAGTCACACTCTCACTGTCTTCATCACTAAAACTTCCCTGCAATAAATCAACCACTTTTTACACCTTTTTCATACAAAAGAGTTGCTGTAATATATATAAAATTTATAAATTCCTGATTTCTTAATGTCTTATTACCAAATCTCAGTCAATCCTATAAAACCTATTTCCCAAGAAAAAGTTCCTGACTACCTGGTAGTAACCTTTAACTGTTCAAATACCTAGCATAGATGATATCTGTGAGATGTATATTTACATGTAGTTGAGTGTAAACAATGTTTGAAATAATGTTTTTTTTAGTATTTAGTCTATAAATAGTCCTTATATAATCTATACAAATACAAACGGTTCATAACACTACAGATTCACTGGAAAACATGGAAGTTATAAACTGTAATCTGTATTTTTTTTTTCTACGACAGAGGTTCGTTAATGAAAATGGTATCATCATGCAACCTTCAATGTCTTATTTATTCAAATCCTTACTATATAATACAACAAATATGAACTCTTTTGGTGGTGAATATGGTTTGTTATTCACCAGAGAAATATCAATATTGACCGAGGCGAAAATGTTTTACATCCTTTATTTTCAATCTCATGAAAATAATTTATCTTTGCATGAAGTTTAAATGGAGAAGAATAAGTCCATTAGAGCATCAGTTAATGTAACACCTAGCACCCCCCACTGATTGACCTCCTTTCCTTTATCAGGGCTCTAATTGTAACACCTAGCACCCCCCACTGACTGACCTCCTTTCCTTTATCAGGGCTGTAATCGTAACATCTAGCACCCCCCACTGACTGACCTCCTTTCCTTGGACTGTAATCGTAACACCTAGCACCCCCACTGACTGACCTCCTTTTCTTTATCAGGACTGTAATCGTAACACTTAGCACCCCCACTGACTGACCTCCTTTTCTTTATCAGGACTGTAATTGTAACACCTAGCATCCCCACTGACTGACCTCCTTTTCTTTTTCAGGACTGTAATCGTAACACCTAGCACCCCCCACTGACTGACCTCCTTTTCTTTATCAGGACTGTAATCGTAACACCTAGCACCCCCACTGACTGATCTCCTTTTCTTTATCAGGACTGTAATCATAACACTTAGCACCCCTCACTGACTGACCTCCTTTCCTTGGACTGTAAACGTAACACCTGGCACCCCCACTGACTGACCTCCTTTTCTTTATCAGGACTGTAATCATAACACCTAGCATCCCCACTGACTGATCTCCTTTTCTTTATCAGGACTGTAATCATAACACTTAGCACCCCTCAATGACTGACCTCCTTTTCTTTATCAGGACTGTTATCGTAGCACCTAGAACCCCATACTGACTGACCTCTTTTCCTTTATCAGGGCTGTAATCATAACACTTAGCACCCCTCACTGACTGACCTCCTTTCCTTGGACTGTAAATGTAACACCTGGCACCCCCACTGACTGACCTCCTTTTCTTTATCAGGACTGTAATCGTAACACCTAGCACCCCCCACTGACTGACCTCCTTTCCTTGGACTGTAATCATAACACCTAGCACCCCCACTGACTGACCTCCTTTTCTTTATCAGGACTGTAATCATAACACCTAGCACCCCCACTGACTGACCTCCTTTTCTTTATCAGGACTGTAATCATCGTCCTCTTCCTCCTCCTCACTCAGTTCTATGTCTAAAATCGTCCTCACTTCCTCTGTCTTCTTCTTCAGGGGTGTTAATGGCCAAGGGTGCATTACCTTAAAGCAAACAGAATCAAAACTTTCTCAACAAGTTCTTGTACATACATGCATTAGGTAATGGTATACATTTGCACTTGTAGTGTAATATAATGGAGTTTGTCATCCTTATCAAAGATTTAATTTTTTTTGGTTTCATTTACCAATGTCAAGATCAAACGTACAGTCAAGATCAACACCATGTAGTATGAAAAACATTGTACAATGTTGGTTTATCTATGTGTGAAAGTAATAATACAAATAGATGCTATTCAAAAGAGCTTAACTCAACATCTGAACAAAATCATTTATGACTTAAGACACATACTTTACTTCAGAAAGGAATACAAGAAAAGTATTTTTTTTCTCTTAGTGCCACATTTAAGTGGAGAGAGGGGAGGACATCAAATATCAATTTCAGCCAACATTACCAAGTGAGGAAAGTGAATATTTGATGACTTTCATGAATATTAATGATTTCTATTTTCTTACATCTCCCTTCTCCTCTATGGCCTTTTTGACAGTTGCCCTTGTCATTTTGGGTTCATAGGTGGCCTCTTTAAGTTCTTCCTTGGAAGCCACCTCATTCAAGATAGTATTCTTCACCATGGCAACAACATGTTCATTTGTAATAACTTGCTACAAATAGAAAACAGAATATACACTCACCACTGAGCGAGACATGCTCTTGCTTCGTGATCTCTAAGAACACACAATATCATAAATATTGAATTGATTAAAGTTTATATAATCAAGACATTTCATCACCTTCATTTCATCTCTAGTATGTAAATGTTGTAAAGTATAAAACTGAGTGGCCATTTGAAAATCTTTCACTTTGACCTTTTGCATACCCTATATAAATAAGGACTGAACTATGGATACAGGGTACACAAAAAGCTAAAAAGGTAACTGGTCATTTACTATCATGCAAGCATATCCATATGCTTCGTGATAATAAATGACTAGTCTTTATTGTCCTCCAATAAAGATGTCTTGAAGATTTTCAAATATGTAATAGACATTATATTTGCTTTGATGACCAACCTGGCTTTGCTCTGGGACCTGAACCCTGAACCCAGAAGATATCATTTTGGTAGAAGGATAGTTGATCATAATAACCATGCAAGCAATTTGCCTATAAGTTGTACAGGACAAGAATTTTGAAGATTGCATGAATTTCCATGACTTTGGCCCCATTCATCTCCTCAAGTCCCCAGGGAGTGGGGGATAGGAACCTTGAAATTTACAATTTCTATTCCCCTTCATTCATAAATGCATATTGTTCTACAAACCAAATTTGGTTAAAATTTGTTGAACCATATTTGAGAAGAAACATTCTGTTTGAAACACACCATATGGAGACAGGAAAAGAGATTAATAGATCACCTGAATGACTCTAAATACTGTGGAATCATCTCAATTTGTGAAGGTTAATGTTCATGGGCAATCAACATTTTATTAGTGGGTCATATTTTGAATTAATTTCAATGTAACATGTATAAACAGAAGATTCAGTGAACTGATACCTTGACAATGTTATCATTTCTAAACTGGGATTTTTTTTTTTTTTTGGCTTAGGCATTTAGTTGTAGTATGTACATTGTATAAAATTAAAATGTCAACTGACACTTAAGACTGTGTCCACAACAATATTGTTAAGTCTTGATTTAACTTAACATTTTGTTCCTGAAATCAACAACCTCTCCATTTGGTCAAATAACTTCTATTTCGCTGAGTCATGACTTAAACTGAAAATATAAAAGGTCCTTTTTTTCATAATAATACTACCTTCAAGCATTTACAGATCTTTTATATCTCACTCAGAAGAAATTTTCTATTTCCATTCTTTTATGTTTCACATTTCTAGCCAGAACAATACTGCACTGACAGACAGAGCAAGTCCTATAACCCCCAAAACCTCCCACCCCAAGCTTTGCTACCAGTAATTAGCTAATTGATCATTAATTCATTGAAGATTTATAGCATCCTTAACAAAATGAGTAACTGTAAAATGTCTCACATGAAGTATTGCTTTAACATTATAGGCTGTTAGCTTATTTCTGGAGGCGTTCTCCTCCAGTGCTTTGTCTAGGTCCTTGTCTGATTCCTCCTCGAGAATCTGCCAGCCCTCACTGTCAGAATCATCAGAACACTCATTGTCTGCTTCCTCCTCTCCCTCACCACCATCAGCTGTTTTAGAATCCTTCTTACCAAGGGTTAATTTTTTACGTTTACAGCTCCTTATCAAATTTGGTTTTCTGCAAAGACAGAAATACAGTATAATTACCTATGTGTACTTCAGTTCTTTTTTTTCTTTATAAACAAACAAAAATTTAAGATAAGTAAGCAAGACAAGTTATAATTACAAATACAGTTACTGTGAGCAACCTCACAAAATTATACCCTCCCCTTCCCCGCTGCAATTTTTATAACATGCTCATATACAATTTTCTAGATGTGACCTTGAACTTACCAAAATGAACTGGTTAAATAAAAAGACCCATCCTCTGGTCAAGAAAAATCTTTGTTTCTCCATTAGAAAATCATGGACCTGACATTAATTTTACATTTTTTTGACAATAACCTTAAACTTGCCACAATGAGTCTGTGTCTAGATTATGACATACCTTTAGCTCACAAATAATCTTTGTTTGAATTTTCAACTTCCAATACTTATCTATTAGAGAGTAATGACCTACTGGCACAATTTTTTTTTTAAGTGCTCTTGAACTTGTAGGAATGACCTTGTGTCAAGGTCATGAAACATCTTCAAGACACAAGTAATATTTGTGTGAAGTATGAACTTCGACTGTTTCTTTATTAGAGAGTTATACACCATACACAAACTTTTTTTTCCACTTTTTCACTGACCTTGAAATTGCAAAAATGACCTTGAGTCAGGTCATTATTAACCCTCAGGTCATAAACAATCTTTGTACTCTGTACTTGTACCAAGTGTCATGAAGTATGAGCATGTTTCTCCATTAAAAAGTTATAGTGCGGACATGATTGCAAAGACAGATGGACAGCCAGACAGACAGAGGATATGGACAAAGTGATTTTACATACCCCCCAAACTTCTTTTGTAGGGACTATAAAAAGCTAAGATGTTCAGAACAAGGCCTAAATTTAGGAGGCTCGCATTCTGTCAATACGTTAGAATATAAATGTTTATATTCTGTAAAATTTAAAACCTGAATTTTACCCTTGGCTCCGCTTAATCCCTCTAGTTGCTGGCACACTTTTCTCCAATGACTTGAATGGGAAAATGTTTTTTATAATGTTCAAAGTGTCAAACTTTCTCTTCTCTTTTGACGGCCCTTGAAGCTTATTTCCTTCATTGTTCATGTTGTTTTCCATTGGCAGATCTTTTGATAATTCCTTTTTTTGTAAGTTGCCCTGAATAGCTGAGTTGTCAGTTTTTCCAGCATCTTGATTGTTTATTTCCTCACTCTCATCTGAGTTTGTGTCTACATCTGAGATGTCATTATCCTCGCCCCCACTCTCTTCACCTTCAGAAGACTCGGACATACCTCTCCCTTCTAACTTCTCCATTTCATCACTGCCTACTTTAGCCATTTGTTCCCTGGAATACATGTCAATTAAATGACTTCTAGAAATTAATTGGCTTTGGAATAAATAATGACATCTATTTAAAATAGTGATAGAAAATCGGAAATGATTACTAATATTTATACTAGGGATATTTAAAAATGCAATCCAAAGCAGAGATAGTTTAAACATTGCTGCATTTTAACACTTTTAAGGAAAAGATGTTTTTCTATTGTTAGTAACCATACGACATTGTGTGCGGTGAGGCATGGATAAGTTATAAAGTATGATTAATCAATACTTCACATTGTGCACCAATCATCAAGTTAACCTGAACTGATCTTCTTTGTTATTCCATTAAAGAAGTTACTGTTTGGTCACAAATTAACTGTTGTATTTAACCCTAAATCTTTTAGAACTTTGACTGCAATTGCGCAGAAAAAAACACATTTTCAAGAGTGATTTTTTCATGAATCGTTTTCAGATTAGCTAAAAGTTGAAAATCAAACTGCGATTTTCTGCACATCCTGAGAAAAAAAGCTAATTGAAAGAAATGTTTGATTTAGTAGCTAAATAAAGCTACTTCAGGTAAGTAAATAAAGCTATGTAAGTAATTCAAGCTACGTAGCTAAATCTAGTGATTGTACCAAACCTGACCGAAACAATGCCTGTGCCACATTCTTACCTTCAGTCTGTGAGTTTTTTTTCACATTTGAAGAATATTTTGTGTTGGTTACATTTTATTTAATGAAACCTAGCCTACTTAACATTTGAATGAAAGTCTACAAAGTCATCTTTCATAGTTAAAAAACCCACAAATTTTTGCAATTGTTTTGATTTCGACAACCGCCATTTTTACACCGGATAATTATAGAGCGCGATAGTACTTAAAATAAAACCGTGTCAAAAATCCGCATGGTAATGAGTTTTCAGAAGATGAAAATATCGAAATAAATAAATAAAAATATATATATTAAAATATATTTTGAATCATTCAAAATTATTTTTATAAAAATTATGTGCAATAACAGTTTGGAAAACCGAAATCCACTTGGTTCGAAACTTTAACGATTGCATTAACCACTTCGTGTTCAACCCGCATGTCCTCCACGCAGAATGGCAGACGAAGTTAAAAAATTAGAAATATGGTCGGGAGACTGGGGTCTACCATCGATTGATTATAAATGTTTAGCTGTCAAGGTTATTGATTAATTCGAAGAGATCTTTGGTTTCCTTAACTGGATGCCATTTATTTATATACCTATATTTGTATAATATTTTTTGTGCAGCAGTACTTAATTTCTGCATTTTTTTTTTTTACAGGCATACTGTAAGTTTTCAGGAATACCAGTGAAGGTGATACCTAGAAGTAATCCATTGAGATCACCTTCTGGTATAAATATTTAGATCATCTGGTTGTCACTTAATTACACACATTGTTTGGTCTACCCGGCTTGGTGTAAGATGCTTACTCTGGACGATACAATTTGGAGAGTCAGGAGGTGCAGTCTTTTCGTTTTTAACAAACAGCCTTCTGAAGTATTATTTCATTATGATGATTACATAGAATAGATTTGAGCCACATGGCAGATAACTTGGCTATAATTTTAGATAATGTTTTCGCACATTTTGAAGAGTTTAATTTATTTAAAGAACTACTAGAATTTATCTCTCAACATTACGGTGTGTTATTTCCTGTTCCCAGACTCAATAAATTTACCAAATGAATTGGTCTCTTAACTCCCTGCAGTCTGATGTATATCACTGATCTGTGCCCTAGTACATGTAGTATCCAAATGAATTTATTTGAATAACATAGAAATGGAAACATTTTGCATAGAGTAATGTGAAGTTATGAACATGAACTAGTAATGCATTATGAATATTAAATGATAAGAATTTCTGAATGAAGAAATTAACATTTTTGGGGATTTAACATTCAGACTACTTTTCTGAAGAATTTTCCAGAAGATATATTTGCTCAAGACGCTCTATGGTGTTTCAAATATTTATTGCTCTCAGCCTCTGTGTACTAGAAAATGTTTTATAAACATTCCATACTCTTGAAAACAAAATTGAAAAATGACAGTTAAAACAGTAAATTTGACATAGCAGGCTGTACCCCCTGACTAAACATGCTAAAGTGGGGTCCAGAGTCAGCATTTTACTCCAAACTTGTTCTACCCCTAGCTACTAAAACAGTGCAGATGATTTATGCCCTTCTCTTTAACAAAATGGTAAATTAAAGAAGGTGTGATGTTGCCTCATATTTGCTTGGATTGTTTTATACTTATCATAGGACTAAAACATAGGAATTTTATTTGAACTTTTTTTGCAGGTATGTTGCCTATTTTGAAGGATGGAGACACCGTAAAATGTGATGTAATAAGCATTTTTGATTATTTAAAAGAACAGGTAATTAAAATTCATTTTACAAAAATAATGTGTACCAAATTAATAAACATACATTTAAATACTGTAAATGAAGCCCAGTTTGAATTTTAATATATAACTTTTATTAATGCTTGAAATTATACAAGCTATGGACATGAACATTTCAAAAATCCTTGACAACAAATCAACAAATACTATAGATCACTAAAATTTAGTGACACCTTATTTTCACGAGAAAGTATTTGGAAATGATAAGTGAGACAAATTTTTCACAAATTCTGGTTTTGGTGCATATAGTCTATGCTGATAAAAATATATGTGAGAATGAAATTTTCACTAGCAGACATCTTGTGTAATTGCGTGAAAATAAAGTTGTTGCGAATAAAAAGTGATTTGCAGTACATGATTGTGCTGAGAACTTGCATATAGAAAAATGGAAACACTGTACAAGTGCTGAGAACTTGCATATAGAAAAACAAAAACACTGTACAACATTGTATTTAAAATGGTTTTCTTCATATAATCAGTTTACTTTCTTGAACTGATTCACTTTTAATGCTTTTATGAATTCCAATGTGTGCATGTATTTGACAAATTTAAAACTTTCAGAACTGTGGAAATGATGTATCGGTGTCAAGGAGGATTCAAGCAGACAACAAAGCTTTCATTCATTTTCTGGAAGAAAAATTCAAACCTGCATTTGTGAGTCTTTGCAAAATAATTTTAATGATGCATTTAGAAACCATTCATTCATTATTTTATGCTAATTAGAACAATTTCATCCTACTTTTGAAATATTCAATACAAAAATTTGTTGAAATATGCAAAGAAAAATATTTTTTTTTACATGCATACTTACTACTTATTGACATTTTCATACCTGTAGATACAGTCAAGTTGTCATCCTTGTTTGTTTGTCTCACACATTTTTCTTTGCAGAATTTCTCCTATTTTTTACATAGAAAGCCAAAAACTTCTCCATATCAGTGGCCTTATCTTGTAGATATCTAATAAGGATTTTGGTCAAAGGGATTAAAAAGGGGGCGGCTAAAAAATAAACTTGATGTCAATTCCTTCTACACTATTAGTGGTAGCAAATAGAAAATTCTTGTTGCATATGATTGACTATATGTGCTTTGTTAAGGTTTCTGATTTTTTATCCCTGCTTTTGGGCTGTCCATGAGCTTAACAGAGTGTGGTTCTTTATCATGTTTATGAAAACTTGTCATTGAAACTCTTGCTAAAGTTTTGAATGTGCCATGTTTCAAAATGCTGCAAATGAGCTACATTTTCAGGATGAGTGATCCAATTAATTTTAGGTTTATTCCTTAACCTTTCATTAAGTTTATGTTGATTAAAATTGCATGGACGATAACACTAAGGATGTATTCTATTGATTCTACATGTGAGCTCTCCTTTCTGGATGAGTATTAGGTGCATGTTTTCATATTTTGTGCAGATTAATGCTGAAGTAGATTACAGGTCAAGGTCTCCAGTAATTGTCCAGAATGGTTTCTGGCAAATCTATGATTATCAACTTCATATTACATGTACCAGCATAGGCTGGTAATTGCCAGGAAGAGAGATACTTCCAAGGTTTGAGGTTCTGTGGTTAACTACTGTACATAAGCACATTCTAGGGACCTTCATTACATTTTCATTTTTATCCCTCTGCCACATAACGGGGCAATATGATTTTCTATTTTGTTTCATTTCTACCCATTGTTATTTTCACTTCCAGACTTTCAGATATTTGAAAGTTTTAAATGAAGGCGAGAGGAATTATGTCACACTGACACACCTAGTTATTCTATGAATTATAATACATTGTACATGTATTTAAACAGTTACACAGTTGGTGGGTAGATGCCCAGGCTTACACAGAGACCACACGGCCACTTTATGCCAGAATGTGTGGTTTTCCACTCAGCCTCTATGTGCCACAGAAAATGATGTCCTCTGCCTCAGACTCAGTGTACACACCATTCATGAAACCAGATCTTACTGAACAGGAGATTGACAAACTGGTAAAATTCATTTTCATTTCAACATTTAAAATTTTGAATGTTTTATTCAGTCATTTTAGGTGTCTTTTTAAATATTAATGGTATTGAACATATCTGCTTCAAATCAGATCCTTTGAGCTGCTCACATAAATCACTACTCAAGGTAGTGATCTATGGGAGCTGATCAAATGATCTGTTTTAATCAGAATGGGTGTTTAGTAAGAAAACAAATTGGGTTTTTTTATAGATCTATAAGGAAGCTAAAGAATGTTTAAATCATCTATCCTACAAACTGGGAGAACAAGACTTCTTCTTTGGAGACAGGTAAATACAGTTTTACTCTGTGTATATAAATGAGATTAAAAACACTTTTAGTTGGGGTACTTTGTACATCTAATTTAAAGGTCATTGACCCCCAGATAAGGGAGATGACTCTCATTTAGATGAATGACTATTATTCCCTCATAAAATGGTCCAGTTTAAAGGCAATTTCTATCAAATTTTGCCCTGCATAGTATGCTGAAATTGTGTGCATTTCATCTATAAATTAGATTTTTATAGGAAAATTATTGGCAAAACAAAATTTTATGATGAATCGGAGGATTGATGAACCTTACCTAAAGAAAGAATTTTATCAAAATAAAATCTTCATAGAGCCATATGTATCAATCACAATAATAAGATATCCCATTTCTTTCAGTCCCACTTCATTAGATGCCATGGTATTTGGGTACATTGCACCCCTTGTGAAGGGACCACTGACTAACAACCAACTGGTCATACATATCAAGAACTGTCCAAACCTGTGTAACCATACAGACAGAATATTATCTAGGTTCTTTCCACTGTCTCAAGACGGTATGTTCACACATATATCAAAGGTTTGCTGTAACTGTGAATTCAAACTCTTAAAATATCATGTAACATGTACAAGTAGTTCTGAAGAAATAAGAGTACCAAAAGTACTGAAGAAACTATCAGTTTGAAGTCTATGATCTGCATTTAATTAAAATTAGATACAAGATCCACTCACATGTGCAAGTGGATCTAAAATCTAATTTTCATTTAATTGAAAATTCTTGCTCATTATGTATATACCAGTATTAGGGATGGCAATTTGTCAGTGTCCCAGGTTAAGGTTTTTGGAGCAGATTTCTTTTCAAGCACTATGCCTGTAAGAAGAACTATATTGATCAGAGATGCATAGATGATGCTTCTAGTATGTTTCATTATACTTATCAGGTTTCAGATGCTGCATTGTCAGACAAAGAAAGACCAGGTTAATGTTTTTGGAGCAGGGTCTCGTTTTAGGAGCAGATTAAAGTTTTTGGAGCAGGTCTTATTTCCAGTAACTAAAATCCCTACATTAACCAAACTTGCAGGGGATGATACATTTAAAAATGCACAGTACTAGACTTGATAGAGATGCTGGATCTAACCTACATTTTCCTGATGAGTGACCAGGTTAAAGTTTTTGGAGCAGGTTTATTCTAAAGTAATTATAAGCCTTATATTGACCAAACTTGCATGATACATCTAAGGATGCATACTACCAGACTTGCTTAGAATGCTGGATTTGACCTAAATTTTCCGGATGAGCGACCAAGTTAAAGTTTTTGGAGCAGGGTCACTCCAATTTAATTTTAAACCCTTTATAGAGCAAACTTCCATCAATGATACATCTGCAGATGCACACTATCAGACTTTTGATGCTGGATCTGACCTTTGCTTCCTGGATGAGTGATAAGTTAAAGTTACAGAGTAACTGTAAGGCCTACCTAGACCAAACATGTATGGATGATACATCAAGGGATATGCTTTGTATGCTAAATCTGACCTGCATTTTCTGGAAGAGTGACCATTTTAAAGTGTTTGTAGCAAGTCCATGCTCAAGTAACTGCAAGCTCTACCTGGACCAAAATTGCATACATGTTGCATCTAGGGATGTACACCACTTGATTATTAGTTTAGTGTGAGACTTTGCCTTACTCAAAAATAACATTTGTTGAAGTGAGCTCTATAAACTTTGATTACCTATGTTTTTAAATTCCAAGTGAATATTCTCTTACTGTGGCCCAACCGAACCCTTGGATCATGCTTTGTGGCCCCATTTTATTGCAAATTAAGAAGACTAATCATGCCCAGATGTAAATAAGATTTTTAGTTCACCTGAGTCACTTGCTATATCTGTTTTCATCCATTGTCGTGTGACTTGTGTCATTTGTCGATCGTAAACTTTTGAACATTTTCAGCTTCTTCTCTTGAACTACTGCATACAATAAGGAGGTACTCAGGAGTGAAGGAATATTTTTGTCTTGGGCCAGACAATTTTTATGGCGTCGAGCTCTAGAGCTCGAACGTCATCTAGTTATGGCCCCGATCAAAATTGCCATCGAATTTTGCGTGACCGAATGTGTCAGTTGATGCATCCGCAAAAGAAAATAGTAATACATGTAGCTATAAATCAATTTCTTTGAAAATGCTCACAATTGATAATAACTTGAAAATAAAATTGCATCAATTATACCTACAATTAATTCTGTTACAAAACAAAGATACTATGTCTATTTTCACACAAGAAAAACCTGATAGTTGTTGCGGATGAATTTCTAAAGAAAGGGCGCGTCGAATGACATGAATAAGGTTTCGGAACGATAACAACCCAGTAGGCAGTAAAACATTCACAAAATTACATAAACATGAATACTAGAAGACCTAAAATAATGAATTTCAAAATCTGAACTTGCTTTTACAATCTAATGACCAATTTTATCATTAATTGTTATTGCTAGTTATTGACCTGTTTTACTGTATTTATCCATTTCCCAGTATACCCATATACTGTATTTATCCATTTCCCAGTATACCCATATACCATGCTGGATCGTAACAGAGCAGAGTTAGGTTGTGTAGATGCAATTACTAAAACAGCGCTTAGAAATTTGCAATTAGGAAAATATTATATAAATTTTATAAAATAATATATAAATTCTTCATAGTTCTTCAACTGACTGGAAAGAGATGAGTTTGATATTCAGAATGAATTTTAGACTGGCCTGCCTGTCTGATATGTCGAACGGTGTCTGGTCAATTCAAACCCGGCTCTATTCGGATCATGACATAGAGGCCTAAGACTATAATAATTGACATTAAGTTTACAAAAAATTTTGTTAGGCTACCTGAATCATACAATTGACTTTTGCTTTCTTCAAATTCAAAAAGATCTTTTGACATGCATTGTTTTTCATGTTCGACGCCATTGAAGCCTTTCAGACTTTTGATTTTTCTCCATCAAAGTAGACTTTTAAGGTTCTGAAACCTGTAATTTTCTGAAATCTAATACTTTCAAGTATTGAAAAAAGTTTGCATCAGTCATGCAAAAATTCTGTTTTTGTCAATTTTCCTCCATTTGCATCAAAGTGTCTCTTTAAATTTTGATCCCCTATTGTGGCCCCACCCTAACCCTGGGGTGATGATTTGAATAATCTTGATCAACACTATGTCAGAAAGCCTTCATGCAAGTTTCAACTTTTCTGGTCCAGTGGTTCTTGAAAACGATTTTTATATGACTCCACCCTATTTTTGCCTTTTCTTAATTATTTTCCTTTGGAAGGGGACTAGGCCCTTTATTTGAAGAAATTTGAATCCCCTTTACCAAAGGATACTTTGTGGTAAGTTTGGTTGAAATTGGCACATTAGTTATGGAGGAGAAGATTAAAATGTTATAAGTTTACTATCGTATATCAACAAGGACACTGTCAACAAAAAAATTATCAGAAAAATCACTTGAAGTTTTGGCTAAGGTCAGCTAATAAGCTGTTATCAAAATTGAATGGCTACTCTACAAATGATAAAAACAATATACGTGTAAATAATTTTCAGAGATGGACAAGATAAAGAAGAAAGAGCAAGAAAAAAGTGAGGCACTAAAGAAAGATGCACTGGACTTTCCGAACAAAACTCGCAATATGGTTTTAGCTGGCGTGTTTGCCTTGACAGCAATGATGGCCTTTGCGTATTCTTCAGGAGTTGTAAGGATACAGGACAATACAAATGGACATGATTTCGAAGGGGAAGATGAGGGAGATGAAGGCGATTCTTGATCTGTGTCTCTTAATTAATAAAATAATTATCTCAATAATTTGTGAAGTATACGTCCAAAAGACACAAAAAAAAAAGATATTTAACATTTTCTTTTTACTTCTGTGTGTTTCTGTGTTGTTGTAAGACTTCAAGTTATATACTTTGTGATAAAATTGTTTGATATTGCATGTATAACAAGTAAATCAGCATGTGGTGTGTTGTACTGATAGTGTTAAACTGTTTCATACTGATATTTCAAGTACATGTATCAAGAAAAGTGCTTTAATAGAAATTAAGGAACACTTTAAAAAGGCATAACAAATAAAAAGAAAGGGTCATTTACAGTCCTTCATTTGTGTTTTATTCACAATAAATGTAAAACGTATAACTGACATAAAGGATGTGTCCTTTGTCAGGGTTACACTTTTTTTTTTATTAGTGCTTACTGGCAAACAAATACATTAAACAAAAAATAGAGAGATCTTCAAAGATTACCAATACTTTTTTTAGAATGTTGTTTGGAAATCAAAATATCGCAAACATACACACACATTCAATATAAATTATGAGATCACTCATTTTTCTTCACTGTTAATTCTACTTCACTTTGAATCAGTTCTTGTGGGCAGTTTTGAATAAACAGGATGGCTAATACTGATAACACCAGAAATAAAATAAACACATATTCATATCCTATAGCATCAGTGATAGATCCTAGCACCACAGAAAACACCAGTTTCCCTACCACCTCCAAAGTAGCCAATGTAGTATAATGGCTGGCTTGCACATAATCGGGGGCCTTCTTGGAGCACTGCATCATCAAAGTGAAAGTGGCTGTGGTCACAGTTCCACTAGCTAACAACATCACGCACATGGAAATAATGGCAAAAACTAAACAAAAGAAATATGTGTTAACATTATACAATCTTAGGAGATACAGTAATTCTAGTGTGTGAAAACAATCAAATATGTTTATACATACCAAAGCAGACCTGACTCTTCTCTACCCAGGAAAATATAACTATAGTTGTTAACAACATTGGTATAAGTCTGAATGCACATATATCATGTACAACTAATGCAGTCATTCTGAAAGAGGAAATATATGATTGAATATATCTTTATATTGAATTTAGTAAACAGGGGCACAGCTATAGATGATTTGAATTGGATGCCTGGATTAGGCAGGGTGTTTGGGGGTCACCTTAATACACCCCCCCCCCCAAATTCTAGAATATCAAAAGCATATAATTTTTTCTCATTCTTTTGAAATAAGGATGCCAGGCATCAACGGAGTGTCGCCAGCCTCTCAGTCTGGTGTATGTCAAACATGAACAGCATAATATAATAATCATTTGATTTTTTCATCTGTTAGGATGAATGATTTTACTTTTATGTTTGTTAATCTAAATTAATATAGTGTTCCTTTGGAAGAGCCACCAGACTTAATTTTTTACATTATAATTCCAGTGTTTTGGGTGAGTGATATTAAATCAATCTTGCCATTTCCGTGTATGACTTTCATGCAAACTAGCAGTAACTATTTTACCTGCTGGTAGACACAATGCCTCCCCCTAGAATGGAGCCCAATATAGATAGCACCTGTCCCACCACACCGGTCCAAAATCCAACAGAAGATGTTGTTATACCTTTGTCTAGCAGAAATAATGGCAGCATACTTAATGCCCCTTGTTCTCCTAAAAGTCAATGTAATGCTCTGATATATCAGACAATCCCAGGATAATGCAATGCAACTTTGTCTTTCTATTGAAGGAAAAAATGATAATTTTGGATGACTTTTAAAATGCATATTAAAAGAGGTTATGAAATGATGCCAACTCCCTTATTTACTATTAGGTGTACTAACAGGAGGAAACTATTTTTCCTCTGTAAATAAAATATCAGTGAAAGGAGTGGGCTAACTGGGCTCCTCTGTATGACACCTCTGAAAAAAAAACAAATTTTTAAATGATGTTTATTACTATGTAGATGCTAGGGATGGGTATCGCCAAAAATTTCGTATCGCGATATATCACGATTTTCCCCCAAGATATCACGATAATATCATGGTATTTTTACAAACAATTTTTACAATGAATTTAAATGAATATTCATAATTTTCCGAAAAATATGCTGGAAAAACATAACTTCACTTTTTTCATTTTTTTATTGACATAATATCAAGCAATTTTGGATGCTAGAATGCCTTTCTTTTACCTTTTTCAACATTTTTTACACTTCCTGTAATTATAATTTGAAAGATTGAACAAATAAATGAATAATTTTCTGGAATCTATAACTATGTACCTAAATACAGGTATTTTAGTCTCCGTATCACGATACGTATCACGCAATGAAAAATCACAATATACCGGTATACCGATAAAATCGCACATCCCTAGTAGATGCTTACCCAGTTTATAGATTAGAACAAAGCCAATCATCCACAAGGTTCCTGGTGACTGGAAGATTTCAATAAAATGCTGTATAAACCATGATTTTCCAGGCTTTTCTTCTGTAGTCTCCTTTTTATAAGGTGTTTTTTCCTTTGAATCTTTTTTATTATTGTCAGTTGGTGGAACTAGGACTGCAACATTCATCAATGAGATCACATATACAAAGGCAAGACTAAATAGTAAATAGGACCATTCCAAGTAGTCACTAAGCCAAATCAGTACACCACCCCCAAATATGGAACCAAGCTTATACCCAACAACTTGGGCGATATTTCCATATCCAAGTTCTGCTTCTGAAAGAACGTGAATAGCAATTCCATCCACTGCAATATCCTGAGTAGATGTTAAAAGATTAAAAAGGAATAACACAACCGCCAAAGGTATGATTGTTTTAGGAGGTGTAAAGGCACCTGTTAAACATGTAAAGATAAGTCCAACCATACTCCAAGCTAGCCATGACTTTTTACTTCCATACTTGTCCACAAAAGGGGCCCATAGGGCTTTCAGCATCCATGGTGTGAGGAGAAGCTTGAACAAGCTGATGTCGGTTAAAGACATTCCATGTGAACGAAAATAAACAGGAAGAAATCTTGCTTGTAAGCCATATGGCAGTCCTTGAATAAAGTAGAGACATGTTAGAAATATAACATTCTCAAACATCTTGATGTGAAAACACCTCGAATACCCTGAAAAAAGTATAAACTGATTAAAATATATATTGTACTATATTTGCAGAGACATATTCAGATATTTACATGTAACACGAAAATGTTATTAATGTCTTGTAATTAATTAACCACACACTACAGTTGTACATCTTTCACTAATATTGAAGAAAAAAGTATAATATAACACAATTATACGATTATGAGATCAACATGCAGTTAGTGAGTTACTGATTTACTTACCTAGTGGCTGGTCAAAAAACACGCTACTTCCTTTCGGATTGATTATATTGTAAACTTCCGCTTTCACTTTTGCTATAGAGAGGGGTTCCGAGTAGCCTAACCGGTTCCCATTCGGCAAACCTCGGCTGATTCCGTCACCTTCATCAAATGATGAGGAACGAATCGGCCGAGGTGTGCCGATTGACCTCCTTTGCCCTCGGGTAGCCTGGTCCCCTGGCTCATCCTTGCCTAGTGACGCGGAGTACACGAAGTAAAACAGGGACAGGGAATCAGGTTAGCCCTCGGGTCTTTCCGTCAGTGGTTGTTTTTCCGCTTGTCGGAAAGGCCCGATAAGTTTCGATTGCCTTGCCTAGTCTCGTTCAACCAGACACTCGGCTGTCTCCGTAAACTCCGACGAGCTCGTCGGAGATTTACGGAGTTAGTTGAGAGTCTGTAATCCTTGCCTAGTGTCGCGGAGTATACAAAGCATAACAGGGACAGAGAACCAGACTAAGAATTAATTAAATTGGTTAACCTTTCGACGCCGAATATAGTTACGTTTATAACATCATGAATGCCGTACTATGACGTCAACTGAGACGTAAAATAATTTGCTTCAGAAAAAAGCGTCAAATTAATAATGAAACAAACACCTGTTTAAGCAAGGTAATAGGATAAGCAAGGTAATATCTAGGATGTTCATAGTTTTCAAGGAAAATGCGCATAATATAGTCATATTCATTCCAATAATTTTTAATCGCTATAAAGTAAATTTAGCATATATATATCCTGTAGCTAGAATTCACAAGGAAATTCTTTACATACATGTATAACAAAAGCGACGTTTAGTCTTTTTCAAATAATATTTTTACTAAATGTTATAAATGTATGACTGCCGTCACGAGAAAAAGGGGCCCTTTCTGAGTGCAAATATATATAACTTTTAAAAATATCTGATTTTATCAGTATTTCATACGCATTTTAGAAAGGCACTTTAAAACAACGTTGACGTTAGTCACAGAAAACGTACTGATGTCGCGTTCAGCAATTTCACTTTCTAAACATTCTTAAAATTATTTAATAATCCTAATCGTTTTGACATAAAAACTTGAGAAAATATTTAATATCTTTTTCTAAGCTACTAGTATGAAATTATTCCTAAGAAAAGACGCCTTAGTTCATACTTCTAGAGGCAGACCCATTAATTAAGGAGGAGGGGGATCTAGACATTTAGGATCTGGGAACGGTTTATATTCAGTCGAAAATATTACAATTTCACACAAAATATTCTTTTTATATTTTATAATCTAGCCCAATTAAAAATGGATATAAAGCAGGCGCACTTGAAACATTACCCCCCCCCCCCAAAAAAAAAATCGCAGATGGCCCATAGAGAATAAAAGAAATCCAACCCCAAAAAGGGGTCTGCGCGTAAAGCGGGCCATCCCCTCGCAAAAAATCAAACCGATCTCGATATAAAAAAAATTATTATTTTCGGTTGAAAGCACGCATTCACTCTTCCATCCACCCACCCACATCCACAAGCGCGTTACTTTTCCCCCCTCCAACTTTGTTTAAAAGAGAAGATAATAACACTCCAAGTATTTTCTGTATCACCGATGAATTTTAACGGGAAATTGATTCAGATGCATGATGTGTAAAATACGGTAGTTGTTTGTTTGTTTGTTTTTTGGTTAAGTTTATTCCGTTCATAAAAAGTAATTTAAAAAGTCTGTTTTTCTACTTCCAAGCGGATTTTTTTAATTTAATTTTTTTTAAAAATACGTTGATAAAATATTTTTAAATAAGTTTTTATTATTCAGGGCCGTAGGAAGCATTTTCATTGGGGGGGGGGGGCATACATTTTCAGTTGGGATACTATAATATCGGCACAATTATTGGGGGTTCCTACGACCATGTTGTTCATACAAACCAATTTCTTCCAAGGTATGGAACACAAACATAAAAAAGAGGCACATAATGATTCAAAAGATTGTTTTGTTAAAGTTTATTTCATATACATGAAAATTGAAACTATTAGTCAATTTTTTAGTTTTTCCCAAGTAAATCAGGTTATATCAAAAGCTGTCTTCTGTTTTTTTTTTTAACCTGTGCTCTCGACGCTTATCACTTGGACACAGCAATCGTACATCATTTCTTAAAAGGGCTGAAACTGTAATCTCAAACGAAACACTAAGGAAATTGGTTTCTTTAAAATAGATTTCTAAGACCGCACGACATTAACTGGCAAGATTGGAAATATACAGCTTACATGTACCTCATTTCCATCTGTTACACTTAAAATATTTGATGATCGAGACGACACTGATATGGGCTGTCCAAACTCAAAAACTTTCTGCTTATTTCTAAGATCTAACACCCCTCAAGAAACAAATGTTCGTCCTCTTATTATTTCTTTTAAACAAAAACATTGGACAGAAAACTCTGATTTATATATTATTATATAATATAATTATTATATAATATATATTAATATATTATATTATTTATTACGAAATTGGCATTATTTATCTTCTGGATCTATCGCTCGCACTGAATTATTATAATTACCCGCTCAAATGTTTTGACTCGAATAGATGAAAATGACGTAATCTGCATATTTCCAAACCTTGACAGTAAATTATCCGCGGTCTTAATGTCGGAATGAATTGGAAATTCGCGATCATATTGCCATATACTTACTATCACCTGCTGGACATAGAAATATAGCCGTCAGTCACGTGTCATGTTTAAGCTTACTAAAGTTCGAAATTTCAATCCTAGGAAAATAGAATTCCTTGTAGCATTGCGCTTGATCTGAAATAATGACCTCAGAGAGTGCAAAATGGACCGAAATGGAGAAATTAAGAATAACAACATTCTTATCGTATTTATTAAGATTAACAACATTCTTATCGTATTTATTTCCAAATGAGTGAATAATAAATGATAATAATAATAGTACATTCATTTTCATATTTCCAAAAACGATCTGAATTCAAATACAGTAAAGGTAAGGGATCAAGATAAAGATAGAACAAATGACATTTACATGTAATTATTTAAATTCAATGAATTGTGGTCATCTGCTTTTGGTGTTTTAGTGGTTGGGATGCAATTACTTATGACATATTTTAACTATCTTGTTTGTGTGTCCTGTCTTTTCTGTCCATTATACAATTTTTTAATTAATAAAAGTTACGGCAAGGATTAAAGCTTCTGAAAACTGCATCAAACTTCAAGATCAAGGTCATGAGGTCAAGTATCATATTACAATAATGTCTTGTCACAACAAGTAATGTACATGTGAAAAAAATATGAAAGCCCTTTCTCTTCAGGAGCAAAGTTTCTGGCCAATTAAAATTTTTGATAAGTAGGTCAAAAACATTTTCTTAGTGATCTTGACCATAACTTCTGGGTCAAGGTCACTAAGATATTACCAAAGTAAAAAAAAAATGAAAAAGATTGTAGGATATAAACTTTCAAGGTTAAAATCACAAGGTTAAAAACCTGAGGGCCTTTGGAAAGGTCTCGGAACAATAATGCACATGTGAAATATAGATAATAATTTCTCATTCAAAAGTTATGTGACTGACAGACGAATAAGATTTAATGTCCTCTCGCGGGGAACAACTAAAGTAACCTCTGCTTATTTACTAGATACACATTATGTATAAAAGTACTGATAAGTAGTTGATTCCCAATAGAACTGGTACTAAATCATGGTAAGTAGTCTCGTTCACACCGAGAATCAAACACTAATCAGAAATGCCATTAATTTATAATTCACAAGGTATAACTCCATGGTAAGACAACTCAGTGCCGTCAGCACACTCTGGGTGTAAGAAGACATTATAAATATAAACTGGCTGAAATGGAATATCCTGAATATGAGTATCACAAGTATTAGCTTTCCTAAAAAGCTTGTCTGACGTGAGCAAATTTATTATACGCGAAGACTCCTGAAAAGTTTAATCTAGTGTATCAACATGACTGAGTCCAGAAATGATTTTTTTTCTAGGCTAGGAAACAAAAAAAGTTCAATTCAGAGGCATCAACATAAAATAAAACTTGGACATGAATTTATACTGTAATACACTATATTACTTGTAATTTCCTTTTTTCATAGCCGTAGGAACGGGGGTGGAGGTTGGGTTGCCGATTTATGCATAGCTATTTAAGCTGGTGTCTCAGTCATGTAAATAATAACGTCTGATAACTTTTTTCTGCTTGAAAAGGCATTGTTCTTTGATAGTACACATCCTAAACTGAACATTTTTGGTTGTGCACCCCCTCCTGAAATTTCTTCCAACGGACCTGTTATACTTATGAAATGATTATATAATTAAAAATAATAATAAACGTGCTACAAATGAGCTAACAACTTAAGTTTGCATTTTAGCAAAAGAATGTTCAACATCTATCTTTCACTTTCAGATTTTTTTTAAGTATGAATTTAAATCAAACTTCTGCAACGTATGGATACAATTATGTATAGACTATAAAAATTCTAAAGGTAGAGAGACTTGGTATGTATTGAAAATAAACATCCATTAGTTTATCTGATAAAATATGCCACAAGTCAGTGTTGACCTGACCAGCTTCATTCCTGCTGTTTTGCTGGACATGAATGGTGCATTCGAGAATGGCTAAATGTTATGTAACCTCTACATTAGGTCAAATGCTCTGCTTTGTTTTTGGGTGATTAGCACGTTTCCATTACTCCTAATCTCTCCAATTGATAGTGATTAAGATAGTATGAAGTTTCCAAGATCAAGTTATCCAAAGAATTCTATTGAACGACTTGACCAACAAGCCTTGGCTAAATCTAGTACTGTCTGACGCCATGACGTCAGACAATAACACTTAATTGACACAGCAGATCCAGTATCAATGAGTGCCTGTGTTGGTACACCTTGTACACGCATGCACTTCGACTTCATTTGATAACCTAACAAGAGTCGCATTCTGTCTTGAAATGGGTTTACTAGTCCTTCATGTGTGCGAAATAAAATCATGCAGACGTCTTGAATGATCTAGTC